TCAGATTTCTTTTTGAGAAGGGTGCACACTTGGTCTGTGGTGGGGAAGCCATGTAGAGGCTCTGACTATTGTCGTCTGCCCAGGTTTCCTGGGAGGAAGTAAAGAATGAGATGGTGGTAGAGAAAGGCCTTGCAGCAGAAGCGGCTGATCGCATTGGGGAGTATGTTCAGCAACACGGTGAGAGACCCAGTAGCCGTGTCACTGCCCTCAGTCCTGAGATTGACACTCTGTGTGTGTGTGCGCACGCGTGCGTGTGCGTCCAGAGGGGTGGGGGGGGATGTTCATGTTTACATGTACTGCAACCCAGACAAAAGGCAGACCTACTGTTCTTTCTTGTCAGACTGACCTACAAATTCGTTTCCTCAGGTGGGGTGTCTCTGGTGGAGCAGTTGCTCCAGGATCCTAAACTTTCCCAAAATAAACAGGCATTGGAGGGCTTGGGAGACCTAAAGCTGCTGTTTGAGTATCTAACCCTGTTCGGCATTGATGACAAGGTAACCGAGTTGCAGATAGGAGCCCTCGCTGACCTATGTGGCTTGGGGTCCGTGATCCTGACCTGGTACTGTCCATGGCCTTACCTCCACAGGTCTCCTTTGACCTGAGCCTTGCTCGAGGGCTGGACTACTACACTGGGGTGATCTATGAGGCAGTACTGCTACAGATGCCACCCCAGGCTGGAGAAGAGCCCCTGGGAGTGGGCAGTGTGGCTGCTGGAGGACGCTATGATGGCCTGGTAGGCATGTTTGACCCCAAAGGACGCAAGGTGCCATGCGTTGGGCTCAGTATTGGAGTAGAGCGGATCTTCTCCATTGTAGAGCACAGATTAGAGGTAAGTCCTGGGGGTGGGTAGAACACAGAAATGCTGCGATGGTACCCAAGCTACCTTTATTTCTTAGGGACGGGTGCTGCTTTGGACAGGGAGCATCTTTGAGAAATGCAGAAGAAATGGTTGTGAGCCTCCAGAGAGTCTCAGTCCTTATAGGCTGGTTTTGTGTGTGTGTGTGTGTGTGTTTTATGATACTGGAAATTAAACCTGGGCCTTGTGCATGCTAGACAAGCACTGTTACCACTATGCTAATTTTCACAGGGTCTCACTAAACTGCCCAGGGTGGCTTTGAACTCAGTGTGTAGCCCAGGTGGGCCTTGAATCCTCCTGGCTCAGCCTCTGAATAGCTGGACTAGGTTGAGCCATCTGGCCTGGCTTCTAGGACAGTTTTGTGGATCTTTATTCTTTCTCACTGGATCAGAGCTACAAGAATCTAGGCTGGTGTATCGAAGATGCACATCTTCCTTGGGGCAGAGTATTTAGCATTGACTGCCATGTGCCAGGCCTACGTGCTTGGTATGTTTTCAGCTGTGTAGTTTTGACAAAACCACTGAGAGTAGCCTTTTGTTGTTTTTGTTCTTCAGATAAGGAATAATTTGCTCAAGGTCATGACACTTGTAAGTAGGAGAGTCAGAGTGTGAATCCAGATCATGAAAACTGCTAAGTCTTACTGTTAACCGCCCTAGTGCTGTCTCAGAGGACATGTCCAAGGCCTGGGCTTGCTCCAGTGGCTTCTCTGATTCCCTGGGACCTAGAGTAACACCAAGGAAGCTCCCCTTTGTTGCTGATACTCGAGTTTTTTTGGTTTTTCGAGACAGGGTTTCTTTGAGTTGTAACTGTCCTGACTGTCCTGGAACTCACTCTGTAGACCAGGGTGGCCTCAAACTCAGATTCACCTGCCTCTGCTGGGATTAAAGGTGTGTGCCATCACCATCTGACTGTTGGTTTTATATATATATATATATATTTTTTTTTTTTTAATTAAAAACAATCAGCTGGGCAGTGGTAGCATACGCCTTTAATCCCAACACTAGGGAGGCAGAGGCAAGCAGATCTCAGTGAGTTCGAGGTCAGGCTGGTCTTCAGAGTGAGTTTCAGGACAGTCTCCAAAGCAATACAGAGAAACCTTGTCTTGAAAAAAAAAAGAACAGAAAAAAATCTTATTTTACATGTCAATACCAGTTCTCTTCCTCCCATCCTCCCATGCCCCTCACCGCCCCCCATCCCATCCCCATCCAGTCCCCAGGGAGGATGAGGCCCTCCATGAGGGATCATCAAAATCTGTCAAGTCATTTGGGGCAGGACTAGGTCCTCTCCTGTGTATCTAGGCTGAGAAAGTATTCCTCCATGCAGAATGGGCTCCCGAAGTCTGTTAGTGCATTAGTGGTAATGCTGCTCCACTGCCAGAGGCCCCATAGACTTCCCAGGCTTCCTACCTGACACCCACGTTCAGGGGGCCTGGTTTGGTCCTATGTTGATTCCCAAGCTGTCAGACTAGGGTCCATGAGTTCCCACTTGCTTGTTGCTGGTACTCTTAACTGTCTCGTTGCATTTGATTTTCAGGAATGTTCTAGCAACTTTCCCACTATTGTCTTCTTTGCTCCAGGATGATCCCACCTGTGTTCCCCACATGAGGTCATTGTTCTAGTAGGCATCTTACAGTGTAACTTTGAAATCGTTCTGAGAAGAAGTTGAGGGGCAGTAGCAGCCCTCTTCCTTGTCCCTGTGTCCACACATACCTAGTCTCACAGGCGGGAAAGGAGAAGGTGCAGACTAGATGCCGTGGTGGTGGTCTCATCGTACTCCTTCTTTGTGATTGTTAGTGGTCCTGACCTAGATGGAAAGGAGTTCGTTTTGATTTGTTTGATTTGGGTTTTTCTTTGTGTAACAGTCCTGACTGTCCTAACTCTGTGGAGTAGGCTGGCCTCACACTCACAGAGATCTGCCTGCCTCTGCATCCTGAGTACCTAAAGGTGTGTGCCACCACCTCCTGATAGTAGTTTTGACTTACTGTACTGCAACCCTGGGATATTTATTCTTTGTTGTTGTTGTTGTATTTTGGTGTTTTGTTCTGTAAATTTTTTTATGTGTGCGGGTGTTTTGCCTACTTGTATATCTGTGCCTGGTGCTCACAGAGGCCAGACAAAGGCATTGGATCCCTTGGGACTGGAATTACAAATGGCTGTAAGCTGCCATGTGGTTGCTGGGAATTGAACTCAGGACCTCTGGAAGAGCAGCCAGTGCTCTTAACTGCTGAGCCATCTCTCCAGCCCCTTACTTGTTTTCTCAATCTTTTGTTTTTTGGTTTTTTGTTGTTGTTTTGAGACACACTAGCCTCACACTCATATATTCAAGGCGAGCCTTGAAGGCCTGGTCCTTCTGGCTCCACTTCCCAAACACTAGAATTATAGATGTACCCAGCTTTCCATTCATTGTTTACTCTGACAAGTCATACAAGTCAGTTCATTTCTTACACCTTGTAAGAACTATTTTCATGTCCTCCTGGTCTACCTAGTGGCCACAGAGTTGGACCTAGTCTCTCAGGGTCCTAACCACAGCCTTCCCTGCTGTTCCTTGACTGCTTAGTCCCACTCTGACTCTTCCCTGCCTCTCCCTAGGCTTTAGAGGAAAAGGTTCGGACCACTGAGACACAGGTGCTTGTAGCATCTGCACAGAAGAAACTGCTGGAGGAGAGATTGAAGCTTGTCTCAGAGTTGTGGGATGCTGGGATCAAGGTACAGGAGACAGTCCCCAGGGTGGCAGCAAACTTGGGAGACTTAGCACAAGCTAATAGAATTTACACAATGCCTCTTGCATTACTCATTGAGACGGAGCGAAGAACAAAGTCCTACTGCACTCCCAGCCCCACCCCTAAATTTTATCCCTGAGAGCAACAGGGAGAAAAATTTTCTTGGTCATTTGCAGGCCGAGCTGCTCTACAAGAAGAACCCAAAGTTACTGAACCAGTTGCAGTACTGTGAGGAGGCAGGCATCCCACTGGTAGCCATCATTGGTGAGCAGGAGCTCAAGGATGGTGTCATCAAGCTTCGTTCAGTGGCTAGCAGAGAAGAGGTAAGGAGGCAAGCAGGAAGGCTGAAAGAGGACGAGGGGGATCAGATGCAGTTGGCTGCCCGAGCCTCATACAGTGCTAACCTGGGGGCTTAGGCTTTAACTGTAATCATGGCATTGAAGATCTCCAGGATCTACATGCATTATTTTCCCTGGGGTGTCTTAATTGGGTACATGTCCCAGTGAGCAAACATAATAACTAGAAGTAGCCACTCAGTGAATAGCTGAGCTGAAGATGTGCATACCTTCTTCCTCCATCCTGGTCAGGTGGATGTCCGAAGAGAAGACCTTGTGGAGGAGATCAGAAGAAGAACAAACCAGCCTCTCTCCATCAGCTGAACCAAGCAGAGTAGCAGAGGAAGCAGGATTGGCCTTATTTGAACTAAAACAAAACTGCATATGTATTTCAACAGTTTGTATATTTCCGATCCAGCAGAAGACTGCAAGGGTAGTCAGAACAGAGGCTTTTTGTTTTTATTTTTATTTGTTATTATTGGTAATCACTGACAAAAAATGGCCAGGTCCTACAGTTTCCTTGTTGGGGCTGGGGAGGAGCAATATAGGTGGATTAATCAAGACTGACTCCTAAACTCCTGTATGGACCTCAAGTGGCTTCATTGCAGAGCCACGTACCAGATGAATAGATGCTTCCCTACAACCTGCCCCCGAAAAGTCCAATAAATGTCTCCACCGCTAACCGCTGTCTGTGTCCATAATGCCTAGTGGTACCTTCCTCCTCGGGTCCTGAATCATTCAAACCACTTTAGTGCCTGGTGAAAGGGAGGACGCCTCGCAAACCCACTGGTTAAAAGACACCCTGTGGGCTGGAGAGATGGCTCAGAGGTTAAGAGCACTGACTGCTCTTCCAGAGGTCCTGAGTTCAATTCCCAGCAACCACATGGTGGCTCACAACCATCCACAATTTAATCTAGTGCTCTCTTCTGGCATGTAGGCAGAACACTGTATATGTAATAAATAAATGTTTAAAAAAAAAGACACCCAGTGTCCTTTCCGCCCGGATCGGCCCCACCCCCACCCTGTTGATGGAGCTCCTCCCACACACGGCCCTAGAGGGTTTCCAGAGTTCCAGGGGCTCGCGCACGTGTAATGATGCCTCCTTGGGGGCGGGGTCGCTCTCAGAGCCAATGAGAGCTTGAGGGGGGCGTAGAGGGCAGGGAATCTTCCAGAGGCAGAAAGAAGCTTAAGGAAGTTCTAAAGAGTCTGGCAGAGCTGGGAGAGAGCTATGCAGTCGAAACGAGAGTGTGAGGTAAGTAGCTGAAGACCTAAGGGGTCCTTGCGCCCGCCCGACAAGGGGCAAGGTGGGGCTGGGCCGGCGATGCACTTTACAACCTGCGTCTTTCTCCAGCAATGGTGTGAGAGGGTGAATCCAGAGAACAAGGCAGCCCTGGAGGCCTGGGTAAGGGAGACTGGCATCCGCCTGGTGCAGGTCAACGGGCAAAGGAAGTATGGCGGGCCACCCCCAGGTATGGTAGCTCCACCCACCCCCTGTGGCGCCACACCGGCCTCGGCCACTCTCGTGGGAAGGCCCGTCCCTCGGCCCCGAAGTCAGAAAACCCCAACCACCTGACATAATGTCTAAATAGATGCGGGCGTTTGTCCGACTCCCACCCTGGCCGTCGAGGATAGCACACCCACTCAGTGCCAGCCTAGTTGTTTACGCAGTGCAGTCGCCCAACTGTGGTAGAGACCGGGAGCCAGGAGGGCGTCGATATTTCTAGATGGCCTTCCCCTTCGCCCCCCCGCACCCCAGCTGCTTCCTGGGCTTAGAAATTGAACCGTGTCAGTAGACAACAGGAGCCCTCCGTATGCTCTCCCTCCAGGCTGGGTGGGCAGCCCGCCACCCGCAGGGTCCGAGGTGTTTATCGGACGGCTGCCCCAGGACGTGTATGAGCACCAGCTGATCCCACTCTTCCAGCGCGTGGGGCGCCTCTATGAGTTCCGCCTCATGATGACCTTCAGTGGCTTGAACCGCGGCTTTGCCTACGCGCGCTACAGCTCGCGGCGTGGTGCCCAGGCCGCGATTGCCACACTGCACAACCACCAGCTGCGTCCTTCTTGCCAGCTTCTGGTGTGCCGAAGCACCGAGAAGTGCGAGCTGACAGTAGACGGGCTGCCTCCGAGCCTGAACCGCCATATGCTACTGCTGGCCCTGCAATCACTGGGTCCCTGCCTGCAGGAGACGTTGCTGCTACCCAGCCCGGGGTCGGCGCCCTCTCAGATTGCGCTGCTCAAGTTCAGCACGCACCGAGCCGCTGCCATGGCCAAAAAGGCTCTGGTCGAAGGTAGGGGGTGAAAGCTTGCGGGAGGGCGGCTGGCTACTTAAAAGCGTTATCCCGAAATCCCAAGAATGCGTGGAGTTCACCAACTGCCACCATACAATAGTGCCGCAGCCACTACTTAACCTAAATATCAGCTACCACTTGTCTAAACTCCTATGCGTTGTATCCTATTTTCTGTTTTTTTTTTTTGAGACAAGGTTTCCCAGTGTAGCCTTGGCTGCCCTGGAACTTGCTTTTGTAGACGAGGCTGGCATCAAACTCACAGCTATCCACCTGCCTCTGCCTCCCGAGTGCTGCGATTAAAAGGTGTGCACCACCACCACCAGCAGCCATTGTATGTGTTTTAGTTCTCAGTAGTTCCTGGGGAAAAGATTGGAGTTGTACAGAGTTCAGATGAGCCTGCTTATCTTTGTAGTGCCTGCTTCCTCAGTGAATTAAGCAGTGTTGTCTCCTGTTTCAGCTTTCATTGACCAGAAAGGTTAGCTATTTTGATGGTGATTAGGTAAATAAAGCCTGAATGCCCTGTATTGCCCCGGGGATTATAAACAAATGCAGCAAGGCTTGGGGAAGTTGTCACACCAGCAGGAAGTGGAGAGAAGTGGAGAGGTGAGAGACATAGCCTGTGGCAAGTCACTTCTTGGGTCAACTGCTAAATGTTGGGCTCCTGTCCCTGTGCTTAGACCTGCCCTTCTCTGCCTTTTCTTGCAGGGCAGTCCCGCCTTTGTGGAGAACAGGTCGCTGTGGAGTGGCTCAAGCCAGACCTGAAGCAGCACTTCCGCCAACAGCTGGCAGGCCCCTCACTGCGGTTCCTGCGGCCAGAGGGCAGCCAAGTAGCCCAGAGCAGGGACAGGCTAGGGTCCCAAGGGGCTCGGGCTGCTCTGCAGCTGCTGTGTCAACGAATGAAGTTGGGCAGTCCAATGTTCCTTACCAAGTGTTTAGGTACAGGGCCTGCTGGCTGGCATCGTTTTTGGTACCAGGTTGTAATCCCTGGACACCCAGTGCCTTTTAGTGGCCTCATTTGGGTTGTGCTAGCCTCTGATTGGCAGGATGGGCATGAGGTGGCCAAGGATGCTGTGTCTGCACAGTTGCTAGAAATACTGAGTGAGCCTAGGCCCAGCTTGTGGTCTCCTAGGGCCGAAGCAGGTACTATGGTTAAGCAGTGACCCTCCTCCTGCTCTCCACAGGCAGCGTAAATGGGTAGGCAGAACCTGTGTCAGTCCCCAGCCCAGCAGGCCTGGGCAGCAGCTACTAGATCAAAAAGGGGCAGGACCCTGCCGCTGCGCCTAAGTGCTACTTTAGTTGTGAGGAAACTCACCTATCCCCATTGAGCCAGGATCTGATTTGACCTCTGACCTAACATCCTTGGTTATTTCCCAGTTTGATGTAATTCATCACACCCACCCAAGAGCTTACTATGAATCTTTTGTTTTTATTTGGAGAACTGGCTGAGCCAAAGGGCCCTTTTTTTTCTATACTGGTTGTATTCATATTAAACCCCTGGTTGTTATACATGTGCCTGTCTGTGCTGTCTTGTCATAACTGTTTGTTTAACAATGGTAGGGTGAGCAGGTATTTTCCCACTTTGGGGCCATGAGTACTTACAATAGGGTATTGGAAATTCCTGTTTGGGGACTTGGGGTTTGACTCAGTGGTAGAGCTAAGTTTATCATATTCAAGGTTGTAGGTTCAATCTACAGCATCAAAAAATAAATTTCCGTAGGGGCTGTCCCAGAAAACAGTTCTTTGTCGTGACACTCTCCTCATGCCCTCAGTCACTGTCGTCGTCACTCTCTCTCACCGCCTCCTCTGGAGCCCTGGCATCCTCTCCGTCTTCTCTCAGCCCTGCAAAGAAGTCATCCGTGCCCCAGGCCTTGCTGCTCAGGGCACGCAGTGGCCCTCCCTTTTTCTTTCGTCGTCGATAGTCGTCCACTACCACAGTTCGCAGCTGAGTCATGTTCCAAAATTTGAGTCGCTGGTCATGGCCACTACTGGCCAAAAATTGGCCACAATGGGATAGGGCTAGCTCTTCCACAGGCTCCCCAGCGTGCTGGCCCACCGTGCCCACTACTCGGTTTGGCAGGATGTTCACAGCCCTGAGCAGAGAAGAGTGTTAGGCACTGACAGCGTGGCTTGTGCGCTCCAGGGCTGCTTTGGCTTCCCTTACCTGATGACTCCATCAGTGGAGCCGGCGCACAGCAGATTCTCAGTGACGGGAACCATGCAGTCAATGGACTCCGCTCTCAGGGCAAATCGGTCACTTGTAGCCCCAAAACCGTTCCAATTGAAGAGGTAGATGGTACCTTCACTGGATCCACAAGCCACCTTCTTCCCGTACTGCAGGTTAGTAAGATAAACCATATTTGTGGAGGCACTTGAGAATGAACCCACTAGCCTATATACCCCATCCCATCATACCCAGCTGTACTTTCATGAGGGTGACAGAAGTTAGGTCGCCTGACTGAGGCTCTGAGAGTAACTCAAATCTGCGTCTCTTGATGTTGAAGACACCAAGGCAGCCATCCCCACTGCAGAGAACAAACGGATTGAATAGGAAGTTCCACTTGAGGAAGACTGTAATGCAATGTGGGCACCTACATCACCAATGGTCTAGAGGGAGAAAGAGCAGGGAGCTGGCTGTAGGGTTGCACCTGGCAGTCAGCAGCAGCTTTTTGGCAGGGTCCAGGGCCATATCAGCGATGTACTCCTCATGCTGCTGCATGTCCATTAGAGGGCCCTCTCTCCGCTGGTCCCAGAGCCGGACACCGCCTGTGTCATCCCCAGTGACTAGAACATTCTCATCCACGAGCAGCAGACTGTTAATGGGGGCACTGGAGACACAGAGGGGAAATCTGTTCTAATAGGGACCTCTCAGTCTTTAACCCTTACCAGGTGCACGCATACCTAATTAATCTCCCTCACCTGTGAGCCTTGGAAATTCGTCTTTCCAACTGTCCCTGTTCAACATCTAATACATGGATTGCTTTGTCCTTAGAGACAGTAACAAGTTCTAGGGGGAAAAAGCCCAGATTAATGGTATTGCTCATTGCCCTCTGCCGCATGGCTGGCTGCCTTCCCTAGCACTTACTCTGCCCATCCTCTGAGAAGACAACAGCTCTGCAGGACTTGAGGTGGTGTCCAGAGGACCAAAGTTCCTTGGTTTCTCCCTCCTGACAAGAGTATGAATAGCTGAGGAAAAGAAGACAGTAAGTGACTCCATACCACACCTAAAACATGCACAGAGCACAAAAAACAAGCTTTCCATGTGGGTAGGGTACTTCCCAGACCGAAGAGCTTATCATTCTGTTTATCGTTGTTTCTTTGTAGTACAGGAGATGGGACTCAAGCCTTCACTCATGCCAGGTAAAACTACAATTGAGCCGCACACCCCCAGCCTATTTATCCATTTTCTTTCTTTTTATTTTTTAGTTATTTTTGTTTGTTGGTTTTTCAAGACAGGGTTTCTCTGTGTAGCCCTGTCCTGGTACTCACAGACCAAACTGGTTTTGAACTTAGAGATCCACCTGCCTCTGCCTCCAAAGTGCTAGAATTAAAGGTGTGCAACACCACCACCTGGCTCATTTATCCATTTTAAATTAACTTCAAATGTTAGGTCGTATTTCAGTACATATTAATTCAAGATATATTTGTATAGGACTATTTTGGGGGAATGGATCAGGTTGTGACAAGATCTCACTACATAGTCAAGGCTAGCCTGGAACTTGCTTTCTTTTTGTTGTTTTGAGACAGGGTTTCTCTGTGTAACCCTGGCTGTCCTGAACTCCATCTGTAGACCAGGCTGGCCTTGAACTCAGAGATTCATCTGCCTCTACCTCCCTAGAGCTGGGATTAAAGATGTGTGCCACCAATGCCGGTTTAGGCTAGTATTTGTAATCCTTTTGTCTCATCCTTCTATGTGTTGAGATTACCATCCTCAAAAGCCAGCGCCTGAAGTCCGGCGGCGGTGGTGGTGGTACACACCTTTAATGCCAGCAGAGGCAGGCGGATCTCTGTGAGTTCAACGAAGAGCCTGGGGAAAGATTGGGTCTGAACCATTATGAGAGCCCAGAAAAAGTTGATGAAACTAATGGCAAGCTGGGTCTGTTGGTGGCGCACGCCTTTAATCCCAGCACTTGGAAGGCAGAGGCAGGCGGATCTCTGTGAGTTGAGGCCAGCCTGGTCTACAGAGAAAGTTAACGGGACAATGAAGAGACACACAGAGAAACGTGTCTAAAAACCAAGGAAGAGTTGGGGGGGGGGGGATCTGAGACCGGAGACAAGAGTCTCCTTTAAGACTATTCTGGGTCAGAGAGACACCCTGTCTCAAAGGAAATAACTAGACAGAAATCCAGTCCCAGAAATTGGAAGGGTTAGTAACAGAGTCCCCAGAAGCTAGAGGAAGACAGTTGTTACTGTATATTCTGATCAGTGTCACCTTGCCGACCCGTTAAAACAAAACAGAGGTGGAGGGCTCGGGAGATGGCTCAGTGCTTGCCTCTATCCTTGGGATACCCAAGCCTACGTAAAAGCTGGGCAGGTATGGTGGCCAAGTCTAATCCCAGCACTTAGGACGCAGAGATGGGATCCCCAAGGCAAGCTAGGGTCGTCGAGCTCCAGGCTCAACACCTAGAGCTCGCCTAAAAATAAGATAAAAACGACGGAGAGAGGTGTGGGGAGGTACTGGAGTCAACTGGTGGCTCCCACAAGCACGCTTGCTGAGTGTCCTAAAAGCCTTCCCGCCACTCTCCACCCCACCTCCATGCCAAGGAGCCGAGAGGCCCCGGCGTGTGCGCCGAGCACGGCTGCACCCTACCCCCACTCACACGAACACGTCCCCGTCGACGTCCCCTGCGGCCACAAGGTCTCGGGAGGGATGGAACGCCAGGCCACTGGCTGGCGCTTCCAGCACGATGTCTTCTGGGGTATCACGAATCTGGGGTGCCTTCTTGGAGTCAAGGTCCTCCTCTTCATCGCCCGAGTCTTCTGTGGGGCTGTCCTCACCCAGGCGACCCACAGCACACACGCGATCCACAGCACCAACGCGATCCATAGCACCCACGCGCACTGAGAAACCAACTACAACGGGCGGGGCTTAGGCCGCTTCCGGGAGGAGGCGGAACCGGAAGTGCTCTGGGGAGGACGTCGGGACGGGAGGGCCTATCGCCTCTGGTGTATGTGGAGCGATCGCGGCTTTCTGCTTCCTCTAAGAATCACTACCCTAGCCACTTTTATTTTTTAGATGAAGTTGAGCTGCAGTTCACTCAAAGGTTTTGGTTTTATGGGCGTTTTCAGGGTTCCCCGTCCCTCCGCATTTTCGCGTGTGGAGTGCCACTGCAGTCACGGCGCACGAGTGGACGTCGGAGAACAACCTTATAAGTTGGTTCTCTCCTCCCACTTTTACGTAGGTCCCTGAGGTTAAACTCCGAACCTAAGGTTTGCTGTGCAACCAACTAGTGGCTGTGCCTTCACCCTGCTCCCCATCCCGATCCACCTTGCCTGACCCGCTGTGCCTGTGCTGGCTCGCTGGACTGTGTGCGACCTCTAAAGCCTGCCCTCCCTCACAAGCTGCTGCACAGATTTGGGAACACCCTGAATTCTTCCCTCTGTCCAGTCCTATTCTAAGAGGAGGGGGTCCTAATCTTTCCTTGGTGAAACCCAAAACCAAGGCTAGGGGCAGGCAGGTTGCCCAAAGAGGAAAGAGTCCACGCCTTCCTAAGTTAACAGACGGGATCGTTAACAGGAGGCAACCCTCACGCATGCTCTAACAGCTGCCCACACCAGTATCCTCAGCACCCAGGCAGTGAACAGCACGGTTCTAGTAGTTTAGCTCTTGACCTCTGATAGGCATGACCAGTTTTGCTTAGGCTTACCCAGAAAACGAACATGAGAGCTGATGTTCTGGACATCCCTGTCAATAATAATGAGACTGCTCTAGATGGTGGGGCATCTCTGAGGCTGGCTTAAAAGGACCTACTCAGACTTCTGTGCAACGAGGCCTTCCTAGGCACATGCTGGCATGGCAGCACTTATCTTTGGAGGAGGGGACAGAGACTGGTGGATCTCTTGAGAATTCAAGGCCAGCCTGGTCTACACAGTGAGAACCTGCCGAGGAGAACAACATGAACATGAGGTGCTGGAGAGATGGCTCCTCGGTTAAAAACACTGGCTGCTCTTCCAGAGGGCCTGGGTTCAATGCCGCCACCCACACGGCAGCTCACAGCTGTCTGTAACAGGGGGACCTCACACAGGCAGAGCACCAACCAATGCCCAAGATGGAAACAGTGTATGCCAGGCAGCGGTGGCCCTTTAGTCACTTGGGGAGGCAGAGGCAGGCAGATCTCCAAGATGGGAGGCCAGCCTGGTCTCCAGAAAGTTCCAGAACTGCCAGGGCTACACAGAGAAATTCTGTCTTGAAAAAAATGTGGGGCTGGAGAGATGGCTCAGAGGTTAAGAGCACTGACTGTTCTTCCAGAGGTCCTGAGTTCAATTCCCAGCACCCACATGGAGGCTCACAACCACCTTGCATGAGATCTGGTGCCCTCTGCTGACATGCAGGCAGAAGGATATATACACAGTAAATGAATATTTTTTAAAAATGGATTTTAAAAAAGTATATTAAACAACCTAAGTAGACCGGGTGTTGGTGGCACACGCCTTTAATCTTAGCACTCAGGAAGCAGAGGCAGGCAGATCTTTGTGAGTCCAAGACCAGCCTGGGTCTACAGGAGCTAGTTCCAGGACAGCCTCCAAGACAATACAGAGAAACCCTGTCTCAAAAAAACAAAACAAAAAGCAACCTATCTGCAGAGTGACTAAAGGGTTAGAGTACTTGTAGAGACATGAAACTGGTAGTCAAACCTCACATCTTGCTCTTACTAGGTATCCATATGAATCATGTTTCTGTGACCTTTTTTCTAATTAAAATTGTGACCTACAACCATAGGACACCAAGGCATCATTTGTCTAAAAGCCATTGTAGGTACCATTGAAACAGTCCATTTTCTACTTCTTAAGCACTATTGGCACAGATGAATTCCTCAAAAAGCCCTTCCCTTCAGCTCTGGGTTTGGCTTAGTGGTAAAGTGCTTTGCCTGTCTAGTATATGCAGAGCTGAGTTTGATATGTAATGCCACCAAAACAAAAATGCCCTTTCTTATCAAGAGGAAAATGAGCAAAGCCAATAGCTAAGTTTAGTTGTTGGGGACTGCTAAGAACCTTGAACAAAATGGAGTCTGTCAGCCATTTCTTGGCCTTCTGCCTACATGACTGCAGGCACACATGCCCTTGAAACAAAGGAAATAGCTAACCATGAAAGTTAAATTTACACAGGACAGCCCACCCGCCTAGCCAGGGGTTAGTAACCCTTATAGAACAATTGCCTTTGTTAACAATTGGATGCTTTTTACACCTCCCTATTTCCTGCACCTGGCTTACGCTGATAAGCATTTGAGGAATGCAACTGACGGAAAATTACAGCTTCGTCTTTACCTTATTTGGTGTATATTTGAGTTGAGACTTGATTGACATGCTTGTACTGCTCCCTGAGTTGCTCTACCTATAAAAGCTATTTCACCCCCAAGAATAAACACTCTTGATCAGCAAAAGTTGTCCTGAGCCTGTTTCTCTTAACCTCTTGAAGTTTGCTTTTTAGATCGGATCTGCTCGTGAAGGCCCACTAAATTAGTATCGACCCTCATCACTTCATCCCCGCTGATCGGGGGTCGCATTTAGTGACATTCTAGCTTCTCTTGGAATTGGTGAACCACAGATGTTAGGCTCAGTATTCAGCCAGAACAAGGTTGAGACCCTAATGAACACTAATCCACCCACCCTGGGCCTTGACAAACTTCTCAGGGTGAAAGACACCAAAACCTTTTGGACCAGAAGGTTTTACCTTCAAGGAATTCCCATCCCACCCCAACCCTTCTTAGTCCTTTAGCCAAGGAATCCTTGAGTTAAACTCAGTATTATTGCTCCCCTAAGGGCATAACTCATAAAAAGTGTTTGTTTCCACAAGTGGTTTTTATTAATACAGCTTCCCAAGAACTCAATCCTATGTAGCCTTGACATCAGTCTAGCAGCCCATCAGGACCATCTGAGTCTGCAGAGAATCTCTACTCTCAGATTAGGACCCAGATAGAACTGTGTCTGACCATCTGAGTCTGCAGAGAATCTCTACTCTCAGATTAGGGTCCCAAATAGAACTGTGTCTGACCATCTGAGTCTGCAGAGGATCTCAGATTAGGACCCAGATAGAACTGTGTCTGACCATGTGGGTCTGCAGAGAATCTCTACTCTCAGATTAGGGTCCCAGATAGAACTGTGTCTGACCATCTGAGTCTGCAGAGGATCTCTACTCTCATATTAGGACCCCAGATAGAACTGTCTGGCCATTCAACTTGACATCTCTCTTGCCCATATCAGGGACTCTTCCTTCCCATCTCCTGGGCTAATAAACACCCTTACTGACTAGGAACCTAGAATCAATGCAGGAAAAACAGAAGACTGTTTCATTGAAAAAAAGAAAAGGAGGACATGACCGCTCGTAGGTATGGTAGAAGTTTATTGTCCATATGAGGAAGAGCATAGCCAGAAGTATCTGGAAGGGGTCCAGATTGAACATGACCCTAAGACAGACCACATGAGAAGGGGAGGGGGAGAAGTAGCCACAAGGCCAAAGGGGCGTATAACCAAAATGGCTTGGTTATATAGGAATCAGAGAAGCTGGGAGAAGGGGAAGCCCAGCCTAGTCTCGGGTAGTTTAGGGTAGGACATTGGAGTATGCCAGCCACGAAGCCCCTGTAGTCTAGAGGGATTGAGGTATGCTGGGAGAACCTGGTGATACGTTAGTAGGTACCTCAGTTGAGACTGTAGTAACCCCCTACAACATGCCATTTTCTCAATACCCACTCCCCCTCTCAGGTACTAACCAAGCAAACTGACTAGATCCAACTGAAGCCCCCCAAAGATGGGTTCCTACATGAGACCTAGTGTTCATATAACTACTGGAACCACCTTCTTCAAGGGGCCATCAAGAAAGAATGCCCAACACAGAAAGAAAACAGCAGGGTTAACTAGTTTTAATGGAACATGTTGGGCATGGTGCTGCATTCCATTAATCTTAGCACTTGGGAGGCAGATCTATAAACAAATAGTTATACAATACACATTTATAAACATTCAACAACAAAAATAGTTTGCAACCTTTCTAGGAATTGTAGAACCAACAACTAAAAGAACAGCCATGTGGTAATGGTTGAACTGGGAATTAGTACTTTGGTCTTTTTACTTCAACCCTGAAATCAAAGGAAAAGCAGATGCAGATGAGCATATGATCAGACACAACAATTCCCACCAGGCCCAAAGAGAAAGAGCTATGCCGCTCACCCATCAGCTTCCATCTTCTTCCTCTTCTCAATGATCTGAACAAGAACAACAATAGTTTATAAGCATGCTGCTAGTAATCCAAGTCCACCTAAAGCCCAAAGGTGACCTCCCTCAATTCCATGGCTGCTCAACCCTGTCTGTGCCTGGATCTGCATCTCTTCTCAACTGAAACCCTGCCTCCTAAGAAAGAGTCCACTAACCGCACTTATTTTCTTCCACTGGCGATCAAGCTCTGCCTTATCATTGGTTTCTTTGAAGCGTCTGGTTTTCCGTCCTTCAGACATCTTGATACCATACTGGAATGCAGCCCTGAGAAGGGTCATTGTGGGAAGAAGGCATTAGCAGTTTCACAGCAGGAGGAAGATTTTCTGAAGGGCTCTGCGGGCAAAGCACCTATGTGGAAACACTGCAGCTAACCGGCAGCCTCTCACGCAATACTGGCTTGTGCACCAATGCCACGCCCTCCTCCTCTAACCCAATATTGGCTAGTCCACCAATGCCACGCCCTCCTCCTCTGCCCACATTTACTCACTTGGGCAAAGCCTCTTTGTTGTTCATGTACTCGCTATATTCCTCCTGAGTGTCAAAGTCCCAGCGGCCTAAGGGACCCTTCTTATTACCCTGTGAGAGCAGATGGGGAGGAAGAGCTATCAGTGGATAAGGAATTGTCTCTCAACAAAATCAGATGCCCACAATCCACAATAATAATCCACTAGTAATAAATCTTACCCTGATAAATGTTTCCTATGTACTTACACTATACACATTACTCTAAGCACTAAATATATCTCAATTCTTACAAAAATTCTAAAGTGAAGCCGGGCGGTGGTGGTGCACGCCTTTAATCCCAGCACTCGGGAGGCAGAGGCAGGCGGATCTCTGTGAGTTCGAGGCCAGGCTAGACCGACAGCCTCCAAAACAATACAGAGAAACCCAGTCTCGTAAAACCAAAAAAAAAACAAAAACAAAAATTCTAAAGTGAGAATTATATTTCTATTTTTATGATGAAGAAACAGACAGTTGTAAACAGGAAAATAACATGGAAAGTTCACAAAAAGAGCCAATAGCAAAGAAAAAACTAAACAAGGTTCCAAGATTAAGATATGTTCTTGGGGGGACTGGAGAGATGGCTCAGCGATTAAGAGCACTGACTGTTCTTCCAGAGGTCCTGAGTTCAATTCCCAGCAACCACATGGTGGCTCACAACCATCTAAATGCCATAACACTGTATACATAATAAACAAATGAATCTTAAAAAAAAAATACTGACCAAAGGCCCCCAACATCCTTTTTTTTTTTTGGTTTTTCAAGACAAGGTTTCTCTGTGGCTTTGGAGGCTGCCCTGGAACTCACTCTATAGACCAGGCTGGCCTCGAACTCACAGAGATCCACCTGCCTCTGCCTCCCGAGTGCTGGGATTAAAGGCGTGCGCCACCAACGCCTGGCTGGTCCCCAACATCCTTAAATAGTCTTTTAACTTCATACCTGGTCCATTTTGCTATAATCTACCTCTTCATCACTATCTACAGCCATGTCATCCATCCTAAAAAGAAACAGAAGTTAAATATATGCTTTAGATCCATATTACTATATTTTATTCAGGAACCCACCTAACATCTCAGAACTAAACGGAAGAATTCAGCCAAGTAAAAAGTACCCTTAGCTCCCAACAGGTCAAATTTAAATCTCATAATCACCCCAATCTCCCTTACTTAGGCCTCACTTACGTGGCTGGATAACATTCTGCATAACTATTGGACATGCCAAAGAAATCACCCAGCTGCTTCTTGTCTTCTGGCTTCTTCAACATATGTTATATTAAAGACAATTCCATCACTTGCAGAAAGATTCAACTAAGAGGGACCAGAGGCTAGAGGTGTCACATGAACATTTCAGAAACCAGCTGTAACCTTGAATTGGTTCTCTAGTTGATACAAAGCATGATTTCATCCCAGCCAACACACAGCATAAAAGCAAGAGAGCAAAGACAGGTAAACAGGAACAGAGAAACAACTGTAGTTGGGTGAAAAGAAAATAGCTCCTACAACCCAGGAACAGCCAGGCACGGAGTGCATGCCATAATCTCAGCACTCAAAGGACAGACGTACTATCATAATATAAATAAGGGAAAACAATCTAGGAAGAAATACAAATAAAGGATATGATTCAGTGCCTTCCCAACCAGCAGACCCAGCAAATTTTTCATTGATGGACTTGATCAACTCTTTGGCAGAGCCAGGTCCTGGAAGAAACAAAACTCAGCTTAGACTTGAACTGATGTTCTTACAACCTCCTCCCACTAACCTGATTCCAGCTTTAAGAGTGTTTCTATTGAACTCACAAGACAGCAGCAGGTAAAAATCCTTTCTGCCAAGCCCAACAATCTGAGTTCAATTCCAGGAACCAACAGAGTAGAAGGAGAGAACCAACTCCTAAAAACTGACTTTAGATCTCTGTATGCTGTGGCACAACCAAATTCAAATACACACCAATAAATAAATGTGGTAGTTTTGGGGGTTTGTTTTTGTTTTTTAAGTTTTGTTTGTACTTGAGGCAGTCTCACTAGATAGCCCAGGCTGACTTAGAACTGTGTATGGAGTTTAGGCTAGCCTTAAAGTCCTGATCTTACCTCAGCATCCACATCTTGCTAATTAAAACATATTTTTAAGGCAAAGGAACCCTTTTATCTATCAAAACTTTAATGAAACTCCAACTAATGAGCTACTCTGGTTCACAGTAGGGTCTCTAGAACACTGTATACTCAACTCAGCCTCACCTCAAAATCTCAGAACTGAAAGAATTACAAGAGCAAATGTGCCTGCTTAGTCCATAAACTGAGAGAGCCCAAAACCAGGCAGTCCCCCAAACGCCACCTTCGTCAGCTGAGAGCAGGGGGGCTCTGCAAGGAGAGCAGGACTGCTATGCAAAGCAAGATGCCAGTGACACAACCCACCTTTGTCAACATCCATGGGCTGAAAAGAAAACAAAAACCAGAGTATCATGATGAGGAATTTAAATCCATCTCTCCCTCAGTTCCCAATCCACTTCTGTCCCGTTTCCATTCCCACCGTAAGTCAGCTGGCCCAGTTACTGCTGTGAAGCCATGAGGCTGCTGAGCAGGAAGAGGGTCCTGTGCCTGTCTAGAAAGGCATTTCTCGGGGCACCTCTCATAGCCTGGCATCAAGGGCTCACACCTCACCTCCTCATCCACTTTCGGCTTCTCAAAGTAGCTGTGCCTCTTCTTTTCTTCCTCCCGCTCCCGCTCCCGGTCTCGTTCCCGGTCTCGCTCCCGCTCCCGGTCTCGCTCTCGTTCTCTGTCCCGTTCCCGATCACGTTCCCGTTCCCGGTATCTCTCCCGCTCCTTGTCCCGAGGTGTTTTGGTTGTAGAGGGAACATAATCCCCAATGTCTTCAAAAATGCTGGGAAAAAGTTATCACTAGTTACTAAAATGTTACGTACTTAGGCCAACCATTTCTCCACAAGGACCAGAGGAAAGAACACAAATCTTTTGCTCACAGATGCATGGGATTGGGATACATACTTCATGTCTGCCTCGGGAGGTTTCTTTTCTTCTAGTTTCCCTGCAATGTAAAGAGCTTGTCTCAGTGCCTTTGTAACGTTAGGGGTGGGGGAGGGTTCAGGACAGGGTTTCTCTGTGTAGCTTTGGAGCCTGTCCTGAACTCACTCTGCAGACCAGGCAGGCCTCAAACTCAGAGAACTGCCTGCCTCTGCCTCACAAATGCTGAGATTAAAGGCGTGTGTCACCACTGTCTGGCTGCTTTTTTAAATTTAACATATATATATAGTGAAGCATGGTGGCACAGGCCTTTAACCCCAGTATTCAGGAGGCAGAGGCAATCTCTGTGAGCTCAAGGCCAGCCTGGTCTACATATGGAGTTCCAGGGTAGTCAAGACCCTATCTACAGAGCGAGTTCCAGAACAGGCTCCAAAGGTACAGAGAAACAACAACAACAAAAAAAGTAAAGCTTCCTTCCCTTTGAATCGGTACCTTTATCCTTCTTCTTGAGCTTCTTATTTCGGGTACCCTGCCTCAGATATGACAAAATTTGGGTGAGTTTGCTGATAACGATGTCATTCGTAGTTAGTGTAGTCTGAGCCTGGAAAACCCAAGAAGAAAAATAGTATCCCTCTTAGCGGGAATCTCACTGTCTATTATCCATTCACTTAAATTTAAGGACAAGTTATATACAGCTAAGAAGATGACATGTAAGAAGGTGTAATGAAGGGACACTCCAAACAGATGAAATCGTATAGAAAAAAGTTCCTGGATCAAAACTTAATATAAAAATTCAAGAAACCCAGGAGAGCTGGAGTCATGCTGAAAAAAGCTAGGGAGTCCAACTGTTGCAAGGGCTCACAGACTTTTACTATGAACCCTAAGAACAAGAACACAGAAAACTTCTACTAAGTGTTGAAACAAAATTTGCATTTATAAAACATCACCTTAGTCATGTGCAAAATCCATTAATTAGTAAGCTGGGTGTTGGTGGTGCACCCCTTTAATCCCAGCACTCAGGAGGCAGAGGCAGGCAGATCTCTGTGAGTTCCAGGACAGCCTCCAAAACAATACAGAGAAACCCTCAAAAAACAAAACAAAACAAAAATCCATTAGTGGAAGCCAGAGTGGAGAGACTCAGGTAATGGATGTTCAAAGAGAACAAGCTGGGCTGGAGATATGGCTCAGTGGTTAAGATCACTGACTGAACTTTCAGTTCAATTCCCAGCATTACATGGTGGCTCAATACCATCTGCAATGGGATCTGACGCCCTCTTCTGTCACACAGGCAACATGTAAACAAAGCACTCATATATAAATAAAGAATCTGTGATTAAAAAAAGTTTCTTCTGAGTAATATTTTAAAATTATGATAGTGGCTATATAATTTGGTGACTATGATAAAACTATCTGAAGCAGAAACTAAAAGAGTAGACTATTTGGCATGTGAATAAAATGCCATCTCAATAAAAACAGTACACTAGACTGCGAGTGGGAAAAGTAACCAGTCTTTGATTAGCTCCAGTGAGAAATTGTGGTTTAGACAGGAATACTGCTGGTGGAGAGGATGGATTCAACTGAGACTGACTAAAAAAAGAAAAGAAAAAGATAAACAGAACACGAGGAAACCGAAGATGAGGAACAGGACTAGGCAGATTTGAAGATATGACAGGTTCTTAGGCCTCAGTTACTCACCTCCATTGTGGGGCAGTCAGCCTTGCTGCGGATCAGAGTGGTGGGGATATCCGTGTCTGCATACTCGTCATCCAGGTCTACCACATAGGCCATACGGCCTGGTAAGAACAACTCATTCCGCTCATATGATTTACTCTTGAAAAGCATTCGATACACATTGCGACCTACACAAAAGGAAACATTAACAAGATTAGCAAGCAGCCAATGAGAAACTTCTACCGTTACAATAGTCATTTATGAATTATCTACTCTGTACTGGGCACCAGGCCAAGTGCTATCTGTGCTCTGCTGCAGTGAATCCTCAAACAACCCTATGCTACGAGATGGGCATTATCACTTTCTACTGGTTAAGACACTGAAGCTGCCAGCAGTGGTGGCACACACCTTTCAGCACTTGGGAGGCAGAGGCAGGCAGATCTCTGTGAGGTGAGGGCCAGTCTGGTCGCCAGGTCCCTACACTAAGACTACTGGAGTGTGCCAACACATCCTGCTTATATACCTGTGTTCTGAGTAGCAATTCAGTTCCTCCTGCTTATACTTGCAAAAAAAAAAATTCTCTCTCTGGTCCTCCAGACTACATTCGTAATATTTTTGCTATTTTATGTTCAGCTTTTAAAAAATTAATTGGCTTTACTTATTCTTTCACTTACTATTTATCTGAGATGGGAGTCTCATGAAGCCCAGGCTGACTCAACTCCTGCTTGTCCTCCCAAATGCTGGGATTGTACGTATGCACTTCCGTACTATCAGCTAGTTTGGTTGTTTTGAAGCAGGATCTGGCAATCTTCCTGTCTCAGCCACGTGAGGCCTAGGACTGCGAGCATGCAGCATCACCCCTAGTCCACTCTACCTTCTTTGATGCATACATATTAAAGACCTAAAAAGGCTTCTGGTCTAACTAAGGAGACATAAATGACATGGAAAATACTCCATGTCTGAGTTCTATACAAGTATTTTATGGGAGAAAAGCTCGTTTAGAGGCAAAAAGAGAAAAGCATATCCTAATAATATAATATTCCTTATAATCCACCTAGAAGGCAATCACTACTATAGAAAGCACTTACCAAGTCGTGTTTTAAATTCGATTTTGTTTTCAGGATCCTCATCTTTCCTGAAACCAAAAGAAGGAAATGTTGGTGGGATGCTGAAACGTGTCCTACCTCAGGTGTCCCCTTCTGAACCCTCGAGCCTCACTGCTCTTCACTCACTTGGTTTCCTTCTGGGGCTTTTCCATGAGCTCCTCCTCCTCCTTCTCTTTGCTGGCAATCTCAGCGCGCACCTAATGAAGCAAGGAGTGCACAAGACGGGAGTGAGGCGTCTGCGCCCTCATCACACCACAGTCATCAGAGAGATGTCCCCAAGGAATTCAGACTGACAGGAAAATGAGCAGACACAAGTTCTACAGACAGGCCATTTTTAATTCTACTGCCAATCACGTCTTCCGCAAACGTTAGCATCCAACACTAGTCCTCTCCACCTCTGTAAACAGAACTCACCTTTTGAAGCAAAGCAAAATCCAAGCCTTTCACCAAATGGGTGTGCTCCATATCACCACCCAAGAATTTGGACTCCTGAATCAACTGTCTCCTCTTCTCTGCAGCTGATTTGTCCCTGCATAAAGAATGACAGAGCCTGACTGAAACAGTCCCTTATGAAAGACAAACTCATTTTGAGATGTCTGCAGCATGCTCCAGAGTACAGTAAACTGTAAGAAACATTTATGTGCGAGTATGTCCCTGATAGACACAAATGGGCCTTAGGAACCCTGTAGTACTCACGCCTCAGCAGTGGGGCCCACAGCCCGATAGTTGGCTGTAGTACTGATCAGCTCAGTTTCCTCATAATCCTTATTCACACCATCTCTCCGTTCCTTGGCACGGTCCCGGTATTTCTCTGCGAGTTCTCTCTCTCTCTCAATTTCTTGTTGGCGTAGCTTGGCATAATAACTGTGACCAGAAAAATGCAGTATGTCTTACTAGTTCCTATCTCAAGTTAACAGAACTGTTCCTGTTTTCTTACAGCTTCAAGTAGTTCTCTATGGTGAAAACTATACTTGTCTTTATATATGGAACTGCCTGTCATCTCTTGACAGTCCTCAGCATCAGAAATTCAGTGTCTTCCAACTCAGACTTTCTTCAGCTACTGCCACTTGCCTTTCACAGACACACTGCCACAGCAGGAAAGGCCATCTGGTACGATGCAACCCCTCTACCCCTCCCCACACACAGCATCCGCTTACAAAGCGATCATCACCCACCACTCCTTCACCTTTTCTTCTTCCTCCTTCGCGCAGCTGGGTCTTCATCCTCATTGTACTCTCTGGGCATCCTAGAGACACAGAGACTCACTCACAGTAAACTAATGCTCTGGCCCAGAGAAAATACACAAGAGGCTAAATAGCAGGATCGTAAGTTTGAGGCCAGCCTGGACTACATGGTAAATTCCAGTAGACTCTAGACACTGCCTCAAAAATAAATAAATAATGAGAAAGAGAGAAAAACAGCCAGTAGTAGTGATGGCACACACCTTTGAGCTCAGCTCTCAGGAGACAGGAAAGCAGATCTCTCAGTTCAAGGCCAACCTTGTCTACACAGTGAGTTCTAGGTTACCCATTGCTACATTAGACCATTCTTAAGAAAAGGAGAAAAAGGAAACGAAAAACAACACAACACAAAGCCAATGTTGATCAGGCAGTCATAATATTATCAATATCTATGTCTCTCAAATTTTAAAAAGCATCATCAACATCTAATTGATGTTAATATCAGACATCACCTAAAAACCTGTTGTGGAGTGTGAGTCTATAAGGTGACAACAGGCCCAGAAATCTGTCCATTTTTACCAGTGACATGATTACAAGTGTTCACAAGAGAACAGCAAGAACCCAAAACATCCCGGTCATCACTAAAACTTCAGTCTTTATGAGGAAAAATCAGAGAGGCTTTAAAAGAGGATTGGCTTTCAAGAACCTGCCAAATTCTAGTTCCCCAGAAATGGACAGACAGGAATGAGAAAGACTTACTCATGGTGACGTGACTTAGAAGGCGGTGCAGATGTAGGTGCAGCCCTTGGGGTCATGAGAAGTTTTCTGAAGTCTTCATTGGTAAGTTTTGATCTATAAAGAAATTGCAAAGATATTTTTAAATTAGTAGCCAATAGGAAATAGAAAAGACCTTTAAAACATAGTTAACTTTACTAAAACAAGGGAAGTGCAAATGAAAGCTGAAATGCCACTTTCAACACATTAGAAATTTGATTTTGCTTGTTTGTTTTTTGGTTTCTCAAGACAGGGTTTCTCTGTGTAGTCCTGGCTGTCCTGGAATTCACTCTGTAGATCAGGCTGGCCTCTGACTCCCAGGTACTGGGATTAAAGGTGTGCACCACCACCATCCAGCTTAGAAGTTTTATCAAATCAAATGTGAGTGAAATTTTGGAATATGGATACTCTCATACAGTTGCAGGAATGCTGGAGTGGGGGCTTAGTTCTTTACTAAAACTGGGAATACAACAAAGGACAAGGCTTAGTCAAAAATGGGACTTGCTGGTCATGGCGGCACATGTGGTGACATATGCTGGAGACAGGCAAAAGGACTCCTAATCTGAAGCAAACCACGATGTGTCTAAAGGACAAGGACTCCTAATCTGAAGCAAACCCGCACTGCATCTAAAGGACAAGGGCTACCTCAAGTATAAGGCCCTAGATTCAATCCTCAGCGTTACCAAAAGGGGAGGGGGAATTCTTTGGTTAGCATGTGGGAGCACACGCCTATAATCCCAGCACTTGACAGGCTGAGACAGGAGGATGACCAGATTGAAGTCTATCTCACACAAACACATAGAAATTTAAAAAAGAAGTAAGATATGGTAGTTCATGCCAGGAATCTCAGCACTCAGGAGACTTGAGGGAGGAGGAATGCCACAAGTTCCATGCCAGTCTGGGATAAAGTGTGAACCTATCTCAAAAAAAAAAAAAAAAAAAAAAAAAAAAAAGAGGGCTGGGGAGAGAACGGGTGAGTAAGGGCTTGAACACAAACCTAACAACCTAAGCTCAGGTCGACAGAACCCACATAAGAGCTGGGCACAGTAGTACAAGGGTCTGTAATCTTAGCACAATCCTTATCAGGACCCAGAGACACAAGAATCACCAGATGCTTACAGCAGTGAGCGGAAAATGCCCTATCTCAAAACAAGGTGGAGGATGACGACCTTTATTTGTCCTCTGACCTCCACACCTGCACACACTCACACTCAAAGTAATAATAAATATAAAAATGACTGAAATTGTGATGTCACTCTCATTTCCAATGCTTTTCACCAGGGGGGAAAATGTGTGTGTGTGTGTGTGTGTGTGTGTGTATGCACATACATACATACATATGTACATCTATGTATGTGTGTATATAAAACACAGCAACACAAGCCGGGCGTTGGTGGCGCACTCGGGAGGCAGAGGCAGGCGGATCTCTGTGAGTTCGAGACCAGCCTGGACTACCAATCGAGTTCCAGGACAGCCTCCAAAGCCACAGAGAAACCCTGTCTCGGAAAAAAAAAAACAAAACAAACAAACAAACAAAACAAACAAAAAAAACCACAGCAACACAAACACTAGACTCTTCTAATAATTTCTCTTCTAATATTCATATGTATTGTCCATGATTCACAACGTTCACAGACATAAAGGGCTAAATAGTCCAAACTTCTTACTTTTCCTTTTTTTTTGGTTCATAAGCACAACTTTACTAAAACACAGACACCCAAAGCAATCATTCTGTATAACTTAACAAAATGAAGCATAACTACATATCTTGGTAAGGTTCAAAGTGAACTTACGATGAAGCGTTCTGTGGGAAAACAAACACGGCGTGTTGTACAAGTTAGCATTTTCCTCTCAACAAACCACCCCCTATGGACTTTATGACCATTCTGGCCAACAAAATATTCAGAATTCCTTCACTGTCTCTTGGATGACTCATCGCTCAGCTCATTCTGTGGTTCAAAGACAAAATACTCACTGGTGGAAGGAATGAGGGTCATCCACGTCGTGGCCATCTGGAGCCAAAGGGTTAGAGAAAGGCTCATCTTAAACAGAAAAATTAACAGTACACTGTTACATGTGTGAGGCTCCAGGCAGAGACCAAGAGAGGAGGCAGGAAGAAGCGCAGCGGCCACGCAGTGAGTGCTGGGAGGGGAGGACTCCACGAGACTGTTACCAGAAGCTGGGGTGGTGACCACACCTGCACACCCAGCACAGGGGACACTGAGGCAGCGAGACTGCCAGGAGTTCAAGGCCAGTTTGGGCTGCACACCCAGACTATCTTTTAAAAGAAGGGCGAAAAGTGGCCCGAGGCTATCACCCCAGCACCTGAGCGGTGGAGAAAGAGGTCACGAGTTCGAAACCCGCCTGGGTGCGAGCTTCCGTGTCACTGTTTAAAACTTATAAAGACGGTTTTCCTGGACACGGTGGAGAACCAACAAGACGTTCCCGGAGGCGCCTCTGAAGCGCTACGCGCAGGCCCAGCACGGCGAGCCCGCGTCTGGGAGCTCGGAGGCCGGCCTGCGGAAGAGGCGAGCCCCGCGGAAGGCGGCCGCGGCTTATTTACCAGGAGCAGGCAGGGAAGTGAACCTGCCTCGCAAACTCAAACTCGGGGGCAGCCACGCCGGCCGGGCCTCTCCTGAGCGCCAATGGCGGCTGGCGGGCGCCCGGCACGGATGTCTAGTGCGGCGGGCACAAAGGAGGGGCTGACTTACTGTCTCGCTCCGGCATTTCGGCCGCGGTATCTCAAAGCCGGCAAGGGTGAAAAGAATCTCCGCCACAAAACAACAAGCTTCTTCCCACAGTGCACCGCGAAAACCTGCCCCGGCGCTCTGCGCTCCCCGCTCCGGGCCTACCGGCTTCCGTAGCGTCCTTGACGAGTCCGCCCCGCCCCGCCTGCTGAAGCGTCGCGATTGGGCGCCGCTTCGCGAGCCGAGATGGCGGCCGCCGCTGCTAGCCGAGCGCTCGGAGCCGCGCTGCCGCTGCGAGAGGTGCGCATCCACCTGTGCCAGCGTTCGCCGGGCAGCCAGGGCGTGAGGTGAGGCGCCGCGCGGGCGGGGAGGCGAGGGGATGCGGGAGCCACGGTCGCGACTCCGGGGGGAGGGCCGGCGCCCCGGGCGCTAGCGGCGGTGTCTCGCCCCCAGGGACTTCATCCGGCAGCGGTACGTGGAGCTGAAGAAGGCGCACCCCGGCCTGCCCATCCTCATCCGCGAGTGCTCGGAGGTGCAGCCCAGGCTCTGGGCTCGCTACGGTGAGTGCGGACCACGGGAGGCGACCTAGACACACACACCCGATAGATAGATAGATAGATAGATAGGTAGGTAGGTAGGTAGGTAGGTAGGTAGGTAGGTAGGTAGGTAGGTAGACACACACACCCGATAGATAGATAGGTAGGTAGGTAGGTAGGTAGGTAGGTAGGTAGGTAGGTAGGTAGGTAGGTAGGTGTCGCACCTGCTGTGCGGCCTGCATCCGAGAATGTAGCGAGGTGGTCGGGATAGATGACACAGAGACCGGTCGGTTGCTTTAAGAAAACTTTATCTTCCCAAGTCAGTTTAGGAGAGCTCTCAGGAGAAATCTCAGGAGAAGTCTCTCTAAGAAAAAGGAGCTTCCCTTTTTTTAAGGACTTTTGCCATCCATTTACATACCATTCTTTCCACTTCTCACCCTCCTGGCTGGTGGTTTAATCTCCGGCCCCAGAATCGGGGAGACACCACAGGGGGCAGGAAGAGGCATCTAGCCATAGAAGGTGTGGAAGGCATGGTATTTCAGTGAGCCAGCCCTATCTGAGCCCTATCAAGCTTTAAAGCACTGAATTGTTTTCAGTAAACAATACATAGATGCCTGCTCCCAGGCCAAAGGGGAAGTGGGTTTCTGCTCAAGGTCTGGTGTCCCCACAGGTAGGTAGGTAGGTAGGTAGATAAGCAAATAAATAAATGATAAATAGAGCAGGCACGGGGCGGAGGCCTTCCCTACCGTCGCGGGAAAGCCGGTTGAGTACCAAGCCTCGAACTTCCGCCGATGACATTCACCTTTACCTAGCTGTGTGACGCTTTTTTTTTTTTTTTTTTTTTTTTTTGGTTTTTCGAGACAGGGTTTCTCCGTGGCTTTTTGGAGGCTGTCCTGGAACTAGCTCTTGTAGACCAGGCTGGCCTCGAACTCACAGAGATCCACCTGCCTCTGCCTCCCAAGTGCTGGGATTAAAGGCGTGCGCCAACGCCCGGCTGTGTGCCGCTTTCTATACCTGGCCACGTATAGGTGGAGCCTGGCTGTGTCTGGGGTAAGAACCAGTGGTTTTGCAGTTCGGAGTGCACCTCCATGGCAGTATGCGTCCTCCCGAATTGTGCCCTGTCAGTGCAAATTGAGGGACTGGGAATTTCTGTAACGTTGAGCACCTCGTGTCTAGGGCTTGCGCTGTGTCCTCACTCACTCCCATTGTCCTCGTTAATCTTAGGGACGGGTGCTTCCTTTTGTGTGGGAGGCCCCGGGTTTGATTGTCAGTACAAAAGTAAGGCATTCACTGATCAGTAGTGACTTTACCTGTTACATTACACTAGCCCTATTTATTACAATTTGATGTTTTCTTAACATGCTGGCTGACAGACTTTAATCATCTCAGCCTATCTGGGAGTGGAGAGAATCACATCCTATTACAGATTCATTGTAACCAAAGACTCCTATACACTATATAACAGGTTCTTCCCAAAGCACACAGAAGGGCATAGACAAGAGTAACTTTCGTGAGTAGTGCTGTGTGTTCATAGTGCCACTTATTTTGCTAAATGGGTAAGTATGGCCAGCCAAAAAATGCACAGGCAAGGATAGACACCCCCTCAGCCCATCCACCCCCCCCTTGGTATTTAATGCTTACAGTGACCTTAAAGCATCATTCAGACACCTGTCTTCCCAGTAAGACCCTAATAGGACCTGGGACTCCGAATCCAATCACTGGGTTAATGCTGAGCACTGCAAGACCACTGTTTTTTAAAGGCAGGGCTGCCCTTTACAGCTGCAGCCTGCTTGGAATGGGCATGAATCTTTTGTTTATGATTCTGGCCCATCATTCAGGCTACTCATCTAAATCACCTTTCCTCAGCTTTCGGTCAAGAGAAGCATGTGTCTCTGAACAACCTGAGTGCTGATGAGGTAACCAGAGCCCTGGAGAATGTGCTGAGTGGCAAACCCTGAAGTGTCCGCTGAGGATTGTAAGCAGGAGCAGCAGAACCTGGGCTCTACTGGACTGAACACATGTGGGGAAATGTGCTCTTCCGGTCCTTATAAAGCTTACTTCTGTACAGCGTTGCTTCAGAGTGTTCTAGTCCTTATTCCCTCTCCTCCCTCTCTTTGTGCAAACACTGAGGCAAAGCAGTTTTACATAAACTACAATTTTATTTCTCATCACAGACCACCAGCTGCTGGCTGTGGTGTCACATGTCATTAACCAACTTGCTTAAGAGGATGAAACAAGACAATCTCAGGTTTAAGACTATCCTCGGACACAAACTGGGTACCCTGGGGATAAACAGACCACAGGGGTTGGGGTGACATTAGGCAACCAAGTCATCCATGAATAGCCGTCTGCTGGAGAGCAAGTATCCTATCCCGAAGCTGGGTTTCATCCTGATGCCTTTCTAGGGCCTGCAGCCCTGACTGTTGCAGGAAGGCCTGGGCAGCCTAAGGAGAGAGAAGGACCAACATTTAGATCCTAAAACCCAATTCCTAGTTCCACAATTAGACAGTACATTCCAAACAAGATGAAAGTTCTGAACTTCAGCCCACACAGGCTAGCCTTGGCCAGAGAACAAATACAGGTAGGATTCGAAGAGAGGGGCACCGTGGCAAGATCAGAAGCTTCTGAGCAAAGGATTGGAAACCAAACTCACCTCTGGCAGATACAGGAATAGCAGCTGCAGCAGCTCCAAACTCTGGCCTACTACTTCAGTGTCAGAGAGAACCAGTGTATTGAGCAGGCGGGAGAGCAAGGGCCCTGGCCACAACCGCTGGCAGTAAGCGGGACCCTTCTCCACAATATTGCACAGAACTCTAAGTACCTGCAGACACAAGGACAGCCCCCCCCCCAAGGATGAAAGCCAAGAATGATAGTGTGAGCAAGGCTGACTATGTGCCCAGGCATTAGTATAAGCTCGTCTATATGTAATTCCCACAACCACCTCTCAGATAGTACCCATTATAAGTGACGAGGTTGTGGCTTCCAGTGGTTTGGTGATTTACCCAAGGACAATAAGCGAGTAGTCTAAGACACCTAGGGGGCTGGAGAGAAGGCTCAGTGGTTAAGAGCACTAACTGTTCTTCCAGCAGCCACGTGGCAGATAACAACTGTAACTCCAATATATGATCCTCTCACACAGACATGCATGTAGACAAAACATCAACACACATAATAAGCAAATTATTAAAAAAAAAAACTTAGACTGTACTAGCTCTGAAACCAAACCATAGTACCTGCCAGCTCCCAGTTACGGGTGGTTAAGAGAGCTCAGGTCTGTTCTTCCTGTTTGCTTTGACCAGCAGTTCATGGACTCAAATTTTATAACAATACATACCAGCACACTTATCACACTTGATAGGGGCAACAGCTGCAAGAGGGGCTCGATCAGATCCAGAGAAAGCAAGGACGTACACAAAGTGGGACTATTTGCTGAAAAGGAAAACGTCATAGGAAGTGCCTGTAGTTCTCAACTGCTGCCCTCATAATATGACCCACTACAGCCTAGACCATAAAGAACTATCCTCTGCATCTAAAGGTCCAGATCCTGCTCAGTCTCAAGTATTGCTGCTGTCCAAATGGGTAGCATATGGGCCTTCAAGGACAAGATACCTATCCTGTCACTGAAGTCCCCTGCTCTTGGTTCTCCCAGCAAAATGAAAAAATCTATTCCTACTTCCTGTCTCCAGCAGCTTCAAGCTCTGAGGTCTAGCTACCAAGAGGCTAAGCATGTCATGAAAGGAATGGTTTTGTGTTTATAGCTTGTATACACATGGCACCCAGTACTCAGCATACGAACACACACTATAGGAAGTTAAGGGGGTACATCTATGGGAGTGTGACGGATGAGCTCCAGTCTCAGGCTTGCAAGACACGGTGTGTCCACATGGGGGAGCTCTTACTACATCTTCAGTCGCCTAGCTCCAGGAACCCCATGGAACCTAGGGTTACCACCAGCCCCAGGATTTTCAGAATGACTAGGTAAGAAGGAGACCACGGGGCTGGGTGGGTGTGCAAGAAGTGAGAGCGCTTCCCCTGGAGGGCTTTTATGACTGACGCTCTAATGGAGTATTATTTACTGAGCATCTCTGGCAATTCTGGGGAACAAGCTACGGTTGGAAGAAAGGAAGAAGTAGGGATCCCTGAGATTATTTTTGTGCATTGTGAAGGAACTAAGACCCAAGCAATTTATTGGGAAAGTAGGGAGGAAAAGATCACCTGACAGCCATGGGTAGATGGATGTATGGTCTTCCTACAAATAAGTCCTTTCAGGGACCCGTGCGAGATGGTTGGGGTGGGAGGACCTTCACTGAATGGGTAGGCAAAAGATTTTGTGGGCCACTCTTATAGCATCTGAATTGCCCCAGCCTCTATTCTCTTCTTTCCCTCTAACCTGCCCTTTGGTTTTAATAACTATTTTAATGACGACAAAAAGACCAGGCTTGTGCAGATTGTAGTAGCATACCAGTGAGGTTGTTGAGGAGCCAGAGGCCCTCAGGCAGCAAGGTGGGCTGTTTCTGAAGGAAGAACTGGAGGAGGATAAACACTGCTGCCACAACCCGCTCGTCTCTGAGCTCCACCTGCTCTCCCATGGCCTCCACTGGCACTTCTGTCAACAGGTTGCTCAGGCACCGAACCACGGGGCAGGCAAGCTGCAAGGACAAGGTGAGGGTGGTGGTAGGGAGCAGCAGACACGAAAGGGCACCGTGAGGAAAGGCGCAGACCCTTTGACTTACTAGCTCCAGTCCCACATCATCCATTCTCTGGACAGCCCCAGCCAATTCCAACAGCATCATTGCCAACGTGGGCAGAGCCCCATGGGAGAGAAGCATAGCATTGTTGACCTGGCTGGGTGACAGACAGAGCAGTCACTGTCAAGTCAATCCTGTGTTTAAGCTACAACACAACATAGGTCACTGGTTGTCCTGAGCCAAAGAAAGCACCATAGAGAGATGAAAACTCAGCAAAGCAATTTGAGAAACTAATGCAGTCCAAAGACTTAAGTCATATGTAGGGAGCCCCAGGAAAGACATTTTCCCAGTTGGCCTGTTACCTGCAAATGATGTAGTGAAGGCACCAGGCAAACTCCACAGCAACCCCAAGGTTCAGCTTCGGGCCTGGCTGCATCAGCAGTAGCATGTGCTGGAGAAGACTGGAGTCCAAAAGAGATCTGCCGGCAGAAGCAGGCTGTGAGCAATGGCTCCTCTCAAACACTTACAGCCAGAAAGTTCTCTCTGGCCAGACAGAGTAGAAAAAGGGAAAGCAGATCTGATCAGGCACCCATGGGCTACACTGCCAACAGGGTCAACCACGGCTGGTATCTGAAGACGCCATTTTACTCACGGAATGATCTTCTCTGGAGCTTCCTTAGCCTGTAGAAGCTGGGACAAGGCATATCCAAGGGCTTCCAGAACAGCCACATGAGGGGACTAGAAATAGACAGAGGAGGGAATTTGACTGGAAGGTCCTAAGGACCCAGAAGTCTTTAACCCCTTTGACACAGGGTAGAGGTTGGAGCTGCCCTGCTAAATCAGGGCAACGCATGGAGAGGAGCTAGAGGAGGCTTGCCAAGGAGAGACCAAGGAAGCACGCACCTGGATGCAGGCCGCCAAGGCCGGAACAATGCCCTGTGGCAGGAGCTGCTTTCTCACAGCCTCGCTCTCCACGATGAGGTTCCCCAGTGTATACAGACACAGCTCCTGAGAGCAGGCAACAAAAGTACTGGCCTGGGCTCACCTCATGCCAGGCCAGGATAGGAGAAAGGATGACATGTCCCTGTCCTTGAAGCTCGCAAGAGAGGAGAGATGATGGGTGTATGCACTGTTTTTAGTTTCCTAACCCCACCAGCTCAAGCTGCATATATTCATTCATATGCTAAGCCCAGAGCAAGGTTAAAAGGGACAGGCCTTACTATGAATTCTGAGCTGTGACCAGAGAGGTAGGTGAGGAGGTAGGAAGTGGCTGGCAGGCAGGCCTCGGCCACAGCAGACTGCTCAGAATGAGAGAGCTCATGTAGGCACCTAGCCGCCTCAAGCTGCAACAGGGCCCGGTTGCTGGTGAGAAGCCCGACAAGGGTCCGCATGCTGCCCTCCAGCCTACACGAATGACAGCAGAACCCTACTAAGTCTGTGGTCTATCCCACCCGCTCTCTTGTCCCCGAAAAGACCGGCCAACCACTCACACCGCCCACACTCACCTGGTAAAGGTTCGCTGTGTTTCAGGGTGCTGCAAGCCTCGACGAAGGCTGACCAGAGCCTTCTCCCTCTCCTTTTCATCTGTTCCCCGTTGGGCTAGCCGAAGGAGCTGCTGTACCTGAATCCCGAACAAGGAGAGGATGACATGTCATTGCCATGAAGCAAGTCCCAAGTCTCTGTCTACCGGCTTCATCTGAGACATCCTTAATACCACTATGGTATCACTACTCAGAACTTGTTATAACAATATGGCCGGTGTAGTGGCACAAGCCTTTAATCTCAGCATAGACGGGCAGATCTCATCAAGTTCAAGACCAGCCAAGTCTACATAGTGAGTTCCAGGACAGCTAGAGCTACAGAGACCCTATCTCAAAAACAAAACAACAATGAAACATTAAAATGACTACTAAGCACCATCTTTTTGGCAGGTTAGACAGGCAGAGGACCTACTACCAGCCCTGCTGCTAATTTCCAAAGCTTAAAACTGCTTCCTTGTCTGAAAAAACTAGAATGACATCTACTCTGCCTTATTTGTTTGTTTGGTCTGGTTTGGGTTTTTGAGACTGGTTTCTTTTTTTTTTTTTTTTTTTTTTTTTTTTGGTTTTTCGAGACAGGGTTTCTCTGTACTGTTTTGGAGGCTGTCCTGGAACTTGCTCTGTAGACCAGGCTGGCCTCGAACTCAGAGATCCGCCTGCCTCTGCCTCCCGAGTGCTGGGATTAAAGGCGTGCCGCCCTGCGAGACTGGTTTCTTTGTGTTGTCCTGGCTGTCCTGGAACTCAATCTGTTGACCAGGCTGGCCTCGAACTCAAGACGTACCCCACCACCGCATGGCTTACTCTGCCTTCTTACAGGGCGATTTCCAGGACAATATTAAACCCCTCCACCTGGCAAAACCCCCCTTCCTCCAGTTATCCTCCCAAGCAAACTATACTCCAGCAGCACCTATAACATGCTTACTACTTCCAAGCTTTTGCTCATCTATCACCTCTGCCTGATACACTCCAGACTCTCAAGTCTTTCAGGTCTCTGCTTTTCATGGCCTCAGGGAAGTTAGTGCCTTCCGGCTTCCTCCAACAAACCTGAGTTTCTCCTGTGCTTCAGGTTTCCTCCCGTGATAAAAACAGTAGGAAATCTGTTTCCTTCATTTGCCTTTGCATAGTTATTATTACTGTTGTTGTATCTTTTACTTTATTTTTATTGCATGAATGCTTTGCATATATGTCTGTTTACTACATGTGTGCCTGGTCCCTGTGCAGGTCAGAAGAGGGCATCAGATCTCCTGGAACAGGAGTTACAGGCAGCTGTGAGCCATTATGTGCGTGCTAGGAATCGACCTGGGTCCTCTGCAAGGGCAGCCAGTTTTCTAACCACTGAGACATCTGTCCAGCCCTGTGTCTGAACACTTCAAACTCTTTATCTTGTCAGTCTTCGTGTGCCTCAGTCCTCAATGTCCCAGCATAAAGGAAGCATACAATGAGTAATAACCGCTCTGGAGGAGTAAAATATAAACACAAGCACTACAAAAACAAGACATAAGCAATGCTTGCTGAGTGCAAGTCTGTGCTAGGGATGGAGCACAGTTGGTAAAGGCTTGCCTCGCTCATCCAAATTCCTGGATTAGATTCCCAGCACCCGATAAACCAGGTGTGGTGGTGAACAACTATAAGCCCAGCACTTAGGATGTGGAGGCAAGAGGATCAAGGTTCAAGGTCATCCTCAACCTAAGAGTTGAACGCAGCCTGGGATACAAGAGACCCTGTCAAACAAAAAAGCAACGGACAGCTGTATTCCCGATACTGTGCAGGTGTCTGGTTTGTTTTTAACAGGGTCTTGGTATGTGGCCAAAATTGGCCTCAAACTTAGCATCCTTCTGCCTCAAACCCCTACGTGCTGGGATTACAGGTGAGCCACACCCCAGCTGCCGCATGCTACCCTTCATGTGGGGGTTTGGGTATAGGGCCTGAGGCACGCTAGGAAAGCACTGCAGTGTCTCAAGTCCAGTGCGGAGAGCTGGGTGTGGGGGGACACACCACCGACTTTAGTACCTGAGCTACCGCAGGGGGATTCTAGTTGGTGACAGCTGGTATGTTCCAGGAAATGAGAAATGACAGTGCTTGGACTGAGTAACTGTTTAATCAGTAAGAGGCTATGCTATGCGTAGTTTAGCAGGTCACTGAAGGATTCTGGTTTCTGTGTGTCTACAACGAAATCAGGGTGGCAAATGCAGACTTTTTAGATAAGACTCTGTAGTACAGATGGTGGGGACACCTACGACGGAGAGGAAACTGGACTCTCTAAGAGGTTAAGAGGCACGTATTTCATTTGACGGTGGACGGATGTAAGGATGAGGGGCATTGAGCTTTCCAGGGTAATAGTTTCCAGCTTGACGGCTGATAGTGAGGGGTAGCTGGGGTTCAGGTTGGGCCGCCCTGCCCTCTCACCTCGGCCTCCCCAAGGAGCACGACTGCACTCTGGCCTCCGGCGTCTTCCGGAGCCTCTTCCCTCAGCAGCCTCTTGCTGACCAACTGCTGCTCCCTCCGCGCCTTCCGCAGAGCTGGGGGCGGAGGGCGTCTCGGTTAGGAGCGGGAGCGAGGCGCAGACGCTCGGATCCCAGTCAGGGCTCCCCCCACCCGACTCCCAACCGCCACTCCCTCGTCCGTTCACACCTGCCTCCCGCTCCCGCCGGCGGCACCGCAGCTCCTCCGCCCCGCACGCCCGCGCACTGAGACGGCCTGGCCGCCGACTCCACATTGCAGCAGCTCGGCCGAGGAGACGTCGGGCCGCGCAGGCGCCGAACCGAACGCAAGGCCCAGGGAGTCCACTCCGCCGGGTGGGGGCGGGGCTTACGTAAGGGGCAGGATTGCGTGTGAGGGCGGGGCCAGAGCGGGGCGGGGGAGGCGGAGGGGCGTGATAAGGGTGGAATTCCACAGTTGCAGTTTGGTCGTGAGGCTGCGGTTGTCTCAGCACTCAAGCTCAGGAAAGAGACTTGGACCCTGGTCTCCGCAGGCTCGCAGTGACGCCTTCTGCTCAGAAAAAACGCTTACCCCCGTGCCCTCTCGGCATAACAGCCGGTTTCACCAATTACTCCACTTCCACTATGAGCCTTCCTAAATGCTTGAAGCATATCTCCTAGGAGGTTTAAGACACGACTTTAAGCACATTTACTACTCTTTACTATTTCCAGCACTAGCCTCTGGCAGCTCACAGCTAATTACCTGTAACTTGAGTTCCTGCACATATGATGCGCATAAACTCATGCAGGCACACTAGACATACCATGAAAATAAATCTTGCTTGGCATGATGGCACATGCCTTTAGTCCCAGTGCTCAGAAAGCAGAAGTAGGGGGATTTTCTGAGAGTTTGACGCTATCCTGACCCACACAGCAAGTTCCAAACCAGCCAGAGGGATTCTGTCAAGAAAAAAAAGGGGAGGGGGGGGGGAATAAAAATAAATCTATTAAATAAATACTTACTTTTATTTTATGCATATGAGTGTTTTGCCTGAATGTATGTCTGTGCACTTATGCGCCTGGTGCCTGTGCTGGCCAGAAGACAGTATCAGATTCGCTGGAACCAGACTTAGATAGTTGGAAACTGCCCTGTGGGTGCTGGGAATTGAACTCAGGTCCTCTGAAGAGCAACAAATGCTCTAACTGCTGAACCATCTCTCCATCCCCCCAAAAATATTTAAACATTTCCCCCCCAAAATTCCCAATGGTGAGGCGGTGGTGGCGCACACCTTTAATCCTAGCACTTGGGAGGCAGAGGCAGGTGGATCTCTGTGAGTTCGGGACCAGCCTGGTCCATAAGAGCTAGTTCCAGGACAGCCTCCAAAGCTACATAGAAACCCTGTCTCAAAAACACCAAAAAGAAAATAAAAAAGAAAAAGAAAAGAAAGAAAGAGAAAAACCAAAATTATTGGGCAATGGTAGCACACATCTTTAATCCCAATACTTGGGAGTCAAAGGCAGGTGGATCTCTGTGAGTTCGGGACCAGTCAGTCTGGTCTACAGATCCAGTTCCAGGACAGCCAGAGCTACCAAAAAACAGCAGCAGTGCTCCCCTGGATGATTCACAAGGACCATTATTCCCATTTTATGCATGAGATTATAATTACCTCATGCCCAGTTGTCCTAGAACTCACTCTGTAGACCAGACTGGCCTCAAACTCACAGAGATCTGCTTGCCTCTGCCTCCCGAGTGCTGGCATTAAAGGCGTGTGCCAAGATAGTCCTAGTATTTTTTTTTTTTTAAGATACAGGAAAGGTACTGAGTAAGGTGAAAGTTCCTCACAACTTTAAAATCCGAATTGTGGCCAACTAGGTGAGGTGCGGTGTAATTCTAAGTCTCTTCTAGTCTGAACTGAAGGGCAGCCTCCAGGCTGAGGCACAAGCTGTTTCCTCTGCCTAGAACTCTGCCTGTTGCCTGCACTTTCCCAAACACCAATCTCAAGGTCCCAACTCCAGGCCAGATATGGTTTCTAACACTCAGGAGGCTGATGAAGAAGGTGTTCCATGAGTTTGGGGCCAGCCTGGACTACATAGCAAGACCCTCAATAAACCCTTAATTCCAGTTCCAATGTCCCATATCCCAGACCTTTAGACCATTGCCCCTCTTACATATGGCATCGTAACTGTTAACCATCGTGTGGTGGTTTAGAAGAGCTGTCCCCGTAGTCTTGTGTATTTAAGTACTTAGTCCCCACTTGGTGCTGTTTAAGTAAGTCTGAGAAACGTGGACTTGCTAGAGGAAATATGTCGCCGGAGGCCGGCTTTGCACCGGTTCTACTATGACCTCTCTGCCTGGTGTTGGCAGCTTGAGACACAAGCTCTCTGGTTCCCTGCCTCCCCATTTCTGCATCACGCATGCTTCTCCACCACGGTATCGATGGACTCTTACTGCTATGGAACTGTAAGTCCCAAACAAACTATTTCTTCTAAGTTGCTGTGCTGGATAGTTTTATGTCAACTTGACAAGAGATTTAGTCATCTGAGACAAAGGAACCTGGACTGAGAAAATGTCACCATAAGATCAAGCTGTAGGCAAGGATGTAAGGCATTTTCTTAATCAGCGATTGATGGGGGAGGGTCCAGCCCACTGTGGATGGGCACCTCAGGCCAATAGTCCCAGGCTCTGTAGGGAAGCAGGCTGAGCAAGGCAGGAGCAAGCCAGGAAGTTGCACTCCCCCATAGCCTCTACTTCAGTTCCTGCCTTGGCTTCCCGCCCTGACAGCTCTCAGTGATGGACTATTGCCACCTGGAAGTGTAAGATGAAATAATATCTTTTCTTCCCAAGTTGCTTTTGTGTCATGGTGTTTTATCACAGCAACAGAACGCTCCCATTCTCCAACCCCTTCTCCAACTTTCTCCCTAGTCTATAAGTGGTCAGCAAACTCTCTGGTCCCGTCCCGTCCTCAGATTTTCTCAGATTAAGCCTGCTCTGTCATGAAGTCACTGGTTTCCTTGTGTTCTTCCTTTGGCTGGCTGTTTCACAGCTGTCACTGTTTCTTCTCATACTTCCTTCCCAGTTCCAAGAGAATTAGTATTCTGGAGACATGAGAATTTTCCTTAGTGCCTCTAAGTTTTAGGAAGCTTGGGCAAACTTTGACACTTTGGCGATAATGAAAGTCTTTTGAAGACATGCTTGTGTCTCTTAGTTTGGCTGTCAGACTCTTGAGATAGAGGACCCCAAGAAACTGGAAATGTCCCAGAAATCTCATTCTGGGAAAAGAAAACCTAAAGCCAAACCCATGACTTCTCTCCTGATGCTTGGTAAAGAAGGAACTTTCCATCTAGAATAAAGTTCCAGGAATGTGCTGTGAAAAGAAAAAGGATAAATAATGCCTGTTGCTGGCCAGAGGAGGACTTATTCTTCCAGAAAAATCGATTTCACACAGTTCTGAAGACTTGTTAGACCACTTGCTGGGGAGAGTGCCCAGATGATCATAGGCAGAACCACAGACTGGGGGACTGCTTAGATATGCATAAACTTCAACCTCACAGAGGCCAGAAGAGGGTGCTGGATCCCCTGGAACTGGACTTGCAGGTGTTTTTGAGCTGCCTTGAAAGGGTGGTGAACCCAACCCATATTGAAAGCAAATGCTTTTAGCACAAATTGTTTTACACATCAACTTCTTTCCCTTGGATATTTTTCTACCCCTTGTCGTCAAGTCAATGAAGTCTGTAATCTCTACTATACAAACAAATGTCTGTAGATATTTAGCATCCTGTACCACCATCTCCCCAAGCCCACTATCCTTCCAGCCCCTGGACAGTTATTTGCTGAGCACCTATTATGTACCTTCCTGTGGTGATGGAGTCGGTGTCTTGACCCCTTCCTCTTGCAACAAGCTTCCAGCAGTGGCAGTGGCAGCTTCTCCTCCTCCTCCAGACTGGTGGGGAGGAGGCATGTGCATGCCACTGCGTATGTTTAGAGGAGGTAAGAGGACATATTCATGGGCTTGGTTGTCTTCCTACACCTTGATGTCGTTTCAAGTAATTGAGCTCAGACATTAGGCTTTTGTGGCAAGCACTTTACCGCTTGTTGGCCCCAAGACAGCCTCTTAATTCACATCTAACTCCTGGCTGAGAAGATGAGATGAGGTCTATGGCAAAACTATGTCCTGCCAGAAGTGTTCATTCAGACAGCTACCTCTGCCCAAACTGCCTTCTACATCCATCTGTGTGACAACACTGGTAACTCTTCGAGAACCAGCCCGTCCCCTTACTACCATCATCTTGGTTTTTAAAGTAGGACCTTGGCTTGGAGGACCTGTGTTGGGATAATCTTTCGTACACTGTGTGAAGACGTGTCTCTGTCCTGAATCACCTCCTAAGGCACCTTCTGATTGGCTTAATAAAGAGCTGAAAGGCCAATAGCTCGGCAGGAGAGGACAGGCAGGACTTCCAGGGAGAGACAGGAACTTGTGAAAAAGAATCAGGGGAGAGGGGATTCGCAAACCAGACATGAAGTCAGGTGTCTAGTACTGAGGAGAGGTACCGAGCCGCATAGCAGAGTGTAGATTAATATAAATAGGTCCCCCCCCAATGTAAAAAGCCAAGCAGTGGTGGCGCACGCCTTTAATCCCAGCATTGGGAAGGCAGAGGCAGGTGGATCTCTGTGAGTTCGAGACCACCCTGGCCTACAAGAGCAAGTTCCAGGACAGCCTCCAAAGCCACAGAGAAACCCTGTCTCGAAAAAACAAAAACAAAAACAAACAAAAAAAGAAACAATTGATAAAAATATAGAAGATAGGTAAACACTTTGGAAGAAACAGTCTTATTTATGAGTAATCAAATTCAAAACATTCAAATTAGATTGATTTTTTTCCTGTCATTCACAATTTAAATGGATTTGTGACACTCCACTTCCATACAGTGCTTCTAAGGTAACCTGGACACAGGTCAGGTCCCACCTACATGGCCTATGGAATGATTCTCAACTAGCTGAAAACATGCAGTCTTTGCATCAACAAATTTCCAGCCATTAGTTCAGCTCAATTGGAGTCTACCTTGGCTTCTGAGGTAACAGATAGATTTTTACATTGCTCACTTCTTTTTCCTTAGGACAGAGCTTTTGGTTTATTATCATTAATTTGGGAGTAATCCTGGAAATTATACTTATTTTGATTCTTGTTTCCCCAGTCATCTTTCGAGGACTGAAAAAACGCCCTTCAAGCCACACAAAAAGATCTACAGTCTCTTGAGTTAATAAACAAAAAAGGGCCGGGCGTTGGTGGTGCATGCCTTTAATCCCAGCACTCGGGAGGCAGAGGCAGGCAGATCTCTGTGAGTTCGAGGCCAGCCTGGTCTACAAGAGCTAGTTCCAGGACAGCCTCCAAAGCCACAGAGAAACCCTGTCTCAAAAAACCAAAAAAAAAAAAAAAAAAAAGGGCTGGGCGTTGGTGGTGCACGCCCTTAATCCCAGCACTCGGGAGGCAGAGGCAGGTGAATCTGTGAATTCGAGGCCAGCCTGGTCTACAGAGTGAGTTACAGGACAACCTCCAAAAACAATACAGAGAAACCCTGTCTCAAAACAAAACAAACAAACAAACAAAAAAAGGGGGATATGGCACAGCCATACTTGATGGGAAGGTCAAAAGTCACAAAGCCAGCACAGCTGCTTGACAGAGATTCCCCCAAAGCTGAGCCTCGTGATGGCTGCTGTGCTGCTTTTGGTTTTGATCGGCCTGCTGCTACTTGGGGGACTTTTAATGGTTGTACAGTTTGGGGATCTTGGGTTGATGGAAATTTGTCCTTGAATTACTTAAGACTTCTCCCACGAGTACTGCTTCTAAGCTTCCTCAGCAAAGTCCTGAACACATTACTCCTTCTGCTTTTAGGAAGATATCCTTATCTACTTGAAGGTCTGCCTTATATCCCAAAGGTTGTGACACACACAAAGAAGTCAGAGATCTCTACATGAGGCTAGGAGATATTCTTAAACATCTGTCCCTATAGTTACTCAGGAACAAGATAATCAACACAAAGTAAACTCAAAAAAGGTAAACAAGATTCAGTGGGCTGGAGAAGTTGGCCACAGATTAGATTACAAGTCTCTTCCCACCATACACGCAGGCAATTACACAGCGTATACAGCAACAAAGACAAGGCAGCTGAAGTTATCTCTGCCCTACACAGAGACGCATACTGATGGGCAAGAATGATGTAGAAAGAGTGAGATGTCAGGACCTCCCTTTCTTAGAAGACTTAGCACATGCAGAGAGAGCCACTGTGGTGTCTATGACCAAGGAACAACAAAATTCCAGGACGAGACATATAAACAAATTCTATAAATATATATTATGCCTGAATTTAAATAATAACTGCAGAAGCTTTGGCCTGAGAATCTTTCTTGGGCGCTCTGATCATTAAGAGTTAATAATACTGCCGGGCGTTGGTGGCGCATGCCTTTAATCCCAGCACTCGGGAGGCAGAGGCAGGTGGATCTCTGTGAGTTCGAGGCCAGGCTGGACCGACAGCCTCCAAAACAGAGAAACACTGTCTCGTAAAACCAAAAAAAAAAAAAAAAAAAAAAAAAAAGAGTTAATAATACTACCCTGCTTGGGACATCGCAATCTGCCTGGGTTAGCTTGAAGATTTTGCTTTGGCCTAGGGTCCTTGAAGCTAAAAAAGCTACTAGCCTGAGAACAGACTGTCATGTCTCTAGATGCTTAAAAAATTGGGTTATGGGATGGATGGGCAAAAATGGTTATAAAAGATAAGTGTTTATCAATGATGATTAAGCTTGAGGGGAAATGACTATAAAAGATAACTGTTCTGTTGCGGTTATCAATGATGACTAAAGATACACAAGAGGATGTGAACCGCATACCAAAAAGCAAAAACTGTATGATATCTGTTGTGGAACAACATGAGTGTATCCCTGCTTACTGAGTTCTGCACGAATAAACACTGGCCACAAGATTCTCCTGACCATCATGTCTGGCTCATCCTTCCCTCCCAGACTCCTTTCCTCCTCTCTAGGACGGTGGTGGTGCACGCCTTTAATCCCACAGTACAGGAGGCAGAGGCAGGAGGATCTCTGAGAGTTGAAGGTCAGCCTGGTCTACCGAGCGAGTGCCAGGATAGGTTCCAAAGCTACACAGAGAAACCCTGTCTCGGGAAAAAAAAGAAAGGAAGGAAGGAAGGAAGAAAAACTGGCTAGAAATAAGCCAAGTTAAGGCCAGGCATTCGTAAGAAGGAATGAGTCTCAGTATGTTTATTTAGAATCTGGGTGGCAGGCTCCCCAAAGAGCAAACAGCAAAGAGTTAAAACATACACACATGACACAGTTCTCAAATAGGTCTCCCCAGAAGTCCAGGGAGGCAAATTTCTGAGAGCTGTTATAATTCTATGGCTGCAGTCTCCCGCCTATGGGACACTGTTTCTTCTCCTCTCACAGGGAGCGCCTCCAAACCTTCAGAGATGGGGTCAATGGGTTTCCAAAGGAAAAAGCACTAAATACTAGGATGAACCATCTAAAGCATTTATTGAAGAACTTACTTTCCACAACAGGGCTGCAGCACCCCCAAAACAGACAGTGAGAGAGATGTCCCTCCTACATATGTCCATGTCACAGAACATTTATATGCAGCTTAAGGGCTGCAGCTAGTCTCCTTCAGGGTTTCAACAACCTAAATACCTTGATTAATGCCCAGGATTGTCCAACTCCCTGGTTTGGGTTCAGAAAAATAACTAGCATCTAGTTAAGACCATCAAGGCACTCTGAATTTCTTGGTCAAGACAAGAAAAAAAAAGTGAGGACATCAGGGGGGTCCTACAGGGAAGACTGCTTTAGAAAACACCTTGCTGTAGCTGGCTGCAGTGACACATGATTTTAATCCCCGGGAGGCAGAGACAGTTGGATCTGTGAGTGTTTCAGTTTGGTCTTAGTGAGTTCTAGAGCAGCCAGGATATAGTGAAACCATCCCAAAATAGTAATAGTAATAATAATAATAATAATAATAGTAAACTTTACTTCCCAATTTAAGGGATGTTGTACATGACAATGTGATTTGGCCAATGTATCTACCAAAAACCACATTTTACTTTGTTCTGTTTTTGAAACAAAATTCTAGCTGTCCTGGAACTCTCTTTGTAGACCAAGATGGGCTTGAATTCACAGAGATCCACCTGTCTCTGCCTCCTAAGTGGAGGATTAAAGGAATGCCCTGTTAGTCTAGCTAGGTATTTAAAAAAATTGTTAGTTGGGTAACAGTGGTATACACCTTTAATCCCAGCAGTTGGGAGGCAGAGATGGGCAGAGTGAGTTCCAGAACAGCCAGGGCAATACAGAGAAACCCTGTCTCAAAGAAAAGAAAGAAAAAAATTATTAAACAAGCTGGTGGCTCATGCCTGTAATCCTAGCACTTGGGGAGCAGAACCAGGAAGAAAATCATGAGTTCAAGGCTGGCCTGGGCTACATACACAGTGAGTTCCAGCCAGATTGCTACTAGAGTGAGAGAACATGGGAGGGAAGAAAGAGGGGGGGGGAGAGGGAGGAAAACAATTGCTAAACAAGGGATGGAGAGCAGGAAGGTTGCTTTTCATGCTAACTCTCAATCTTGAACTTCATTCTCCCTCTGGAATCCATAGATAAGTTCACAAACTTTCCACAAAGTCCAGTCACGCCCTTGAAGAAAATCAAGGACTTGGATTTGGATGGTGGGAAATTGTTAGAAACTTAAGGCTAGGGGAAAGGGGAGCTGAAATCTCAGGGATTGGGCTGCAGAATACTGATTAAGGCACTGTTGTGGTTCATCCTTTTCCTGTATGTACCAGACAAGCTTAAGGTGCTTAGGTCATCCTTCTGGCACAGGAAGAATTCTTCCTGTTTTGGTTCCTCCCTGTAAAAGACTTCATTATAATATTTACTAGGGAAGAGGGAAGAGAAGTGGTGAAGTGACCAGAGTTCACAGAGGAGAGGACAGAGTGACATCCCACGATTACATAAACTCACAGGGGCTGCCAAGGAGGGCAACAAGCGTGTGGTATGTGGAAGCCGCGTACAAGTGGGCCTTAGAAACTACGGAATCTATCGACTATGGTGAGTCAGACGGTCTTGGGGTGGAACCGGACCCACCCGAGGAACCCCAAGAACTGGCTGGAGTCCCCTGATCACTTCTGTCTTCTCAGGAGCCTGTGCTTGGCTTGTTGCTGGTGTTGCTGACGCCGGCGCACGCCTCCCCCGCCATGCCAGAGCCCTGCGAGCTGGATGAGCAGGGCGTCCACTGCTCCTGCAACTTCTCAGATCCGCAGCCGGATTGGTCCAACGCTTTTCTGTGTGCCGGGGCGCGGGACGTGGAATTCTACGGCGGCGGCCGCAGCCTGGAGCCCTTTCTAAAGCGCGTGGACACCGAAGCCGACCTGGGACAGTTCACAGATGTGGTCAGGTCCCTGCCCTGGCAACGGCTTACAGTGGGGGACGCGCGCGTTCCCGCTCCGATGCTGTTCGGAGTCCTGCGTATGCTCGGGTATTCCGGCCTCAAGGAACTAACTCTCGAAAACCTCGAGGTAACCAGCACCACGCTGCCGCCGCTTCAGGAAGCCACCGGCCCCGATCTCAACACCCTGAGCCTCAGCAACGTGTCGTGGGCGACAGAGGATGGCTGGCTCGCAGAGCTGCAGCAGTGGCTAAAGCCTGGACTCAAGGTATTGCGTATTGCCCAGGCACATTCACTCAACTTTTCCTGCGCACAGGTCCGAGTCTTCCCCTCCCTAGTCACCCTAGACCTGTCTGACAACCCCGAATTGGGCGAGCGAGGGCTGATCTCGGCTCTGTGTCAGCGCAAGTTCCCGGCTCTCCAAGTTCTAGCACTGCGCAACACAGGGATGGAGACGGCCAGCGGCGTGTGCTCTGTGCTGGCCGCCGCAAGTGTGCAGCTGCAAGGACTGGACCTTAGTCACAATTCACTGCGGCATACCGCAAGCGCTCCCGGGTGTGACTGGCCTAGCAAGCTAAACTCGCTCAATCTGTCTTTCACTGAACTACAGCAAGTACCCCAGGGACTTCCAACCAAACTCAACGTGCTTGATCTCAGTTACAACCAGCTGGATAGTAAACCGAGGCCAGATGAGCTGCCCAAGGTGGATAACCTGTTACTTGAAGGAAACCCCTTTCTAGAATACGAACCCCACTCCGGGAAGTATGACTCTGTTGTGGTGACAGCCCCAGTGCGTTTAACCCTGGCAGTGAGTGTGTCAGGAACTTTGGCTGTGCTCCAAGGAGCTGGCCTTTTTGCCTAATACCAAAGGAAGTAAAAGGAACATTTACCTTGTCCTGGCTTCTGAGGGTCCTGGTCAGGATGATCAGAACTTCTTGACCAATGAATCCTCTGCCTTTCAGTTATTAAAATGTCAAACCACGATGTAAGGGAGAAAAGAGAGTCTAGGCGGTTCAATGGGTTAAGACCACCAAGTTTGACTCCTGGTTTTGATCCTCAAGATCCACACAGAGGGAAAGAACTCACTCCTGAAAGTTGTCCATAGGAGCTCCACATACCTGCTGTGACACAGTGGTGTATGTGTGTGTGTGTGTATACATACAAATGTGCTCACAAAATAAATATTTTTAAAGTTACAACCTGTTGTTTGATTGGTTGTGTTTTGTTGTTTGATTGTTTTTTGAGACAGTCTGGCTATGTAGTCCTCGCTGGCCTCAAACTCACAGAGATCTGCCTGCCTCTGCCTCTGCCTCTGAGTGCTATGGTTAAGGGGATGTGCCTCATGCTCAATTTAAATAACCATGAGTCCATGCAACTCACTCTACAGATCTTTACTGAGTATCTGCAACACATCAGGCTCAGTGCAAGAGGAGGAATTCATTCTTAGACTTTATCCAACTCCCTGGAAACCCTACCTCCCCTCAAGAAAAGAACTCAGGGTCGGAAGGAACAAAGAAATGGAGAAGTAGGAGACAATGAACTTGGTTTTTTTTTTTTTTTTTTTTTTTTTTGGTTTTTCGAGACAGGGTTTCTGTGTATTGTTTTGGAGGCTGTCCTGGAACTCACTCGGTAGACCAGGCTGGCCTCGAAATCACAGAGAGCCTCTGCCTCCCGAGTGCTGGGATTAAAGGCGTGCACCACCAATGCCCGGCTGACAATGAACTTGTAGTGAGGGCTTTCTGAACAGATTGCTATAGTTGATGGCGATTGTTGTGGTTTGAGTGAGATGGGCCCCCGCAGGCTCAAGTGTTTGAATATTAGATCCCTATGGTGAAACTGTGCAAAGGGTTAGAAGGTGTGGCCTTGTTTGAGGAGGTGTGTCACTGGGGGGTAGGTTTTGAAGTTTCAAAAGCCTAGGCTATTTCCAGTTAGCTCTCTGACTTGTGCTCTGGGATCAAGTCATGAGCTATCGTCTTACTGGACCACGCCTGCTACCACAGACTCTAACTGACCCTCTAAACCAGTGCTTCTCACCCTTCCTAATGCTGTGACTCTTTAATACAGTTCCTCATGCTGTGCTGACCCCAGCCATAAAGTTATTTTCATTGCTACTTCATAACTGAATTGTAATGTAAATATCTGTGTTTTCTGATGGTCTTAGGTGACCCCCATAAAAAGGTTGTTTGATCCCCAACTTTCAAAAGCCAAAGGTAATAAAACCCAAGGCCATTTTCATTCTGTTTTGTTTTTTGTTTTTTGAGACAGGGTTCCTCTGTATAGCTTTGGAGCCTGTCCTGGAATTCGCTCAGTAGACCAGGCTAGCCTCGAACTCACAGAGATCCGCCTGTCTCTGCCCCCAAGTGCTGGGATTAAAGGTGAGTGCCAGCCACCACCACCCAGCTACGTTTTATTTTGTGAACAGTCGTTTACTGAGCACCTTCATGACGAGCACTGACCGCCCTCAAGGAGCTGAATGCCATGAATCTTGGGCTGACTCTGGTTTTCCTGAGTCTCTACTTAGACCCAGTCTCCTCTGGTCCACTCCAGTCCGGGCAAAGTGGACCTCACTGCTCCCATCTGCCTGTCTCAGCAAGAAAGATGGAGGGAGGGAGGGAAAGAAAGAAATTGAAGAAAAGAGAGAACCCCCCCCAAAATTTGGAGGGCCATCCAAGGGGAAAAAGACCACTGAATTTCCTTTGTCCAGGGCTTTTTTTTTTTAAGAAATATTATTTAGGGCCTGGAGAGATGGCTCAGCAGTGAAGAGTATTGACTGCTGTCCTAGAGAACCCTGGTTCAAGCCGGGCGGTGGTGGAGCACACCTTTAATCCCAGCACTCGGGAGGCAGAGGCAGGCGGATCTCTGTGAGTTCGAGGCTGGGCTGGACCGACAGCCTCGAAAACAATACAGAGAAACCCTGTCTCGTAAAAACCAAAAAAAAAAAAAAAAGAGAGAGAACCCTGGTTCAAATCCCAGTACCCACAAGGCAGCTCATATCTGTCTGTAACTCCAAGATCTGACACCCTCACACAGACATACATGCTGGGAAAACACCAATGAACATAAAATAAAAACGAATAATTTTTTTAAAGAAACATGAGTGCGTATATGTTTGTGTGTGTCATTTGTGTACCATGCCAGTGGAAGACAGAAAAGGGTGTAGGACCTCAGAGCCGGAGTTACAAGAGGCTATGAGCTATCCAACGTGGGGCCTTGGAATCAAACTTGGGTCCTCTAGAAGAGCCGCAAGTGCTCATCACCACTGAGACTTCTCTCCAGTCCCATCTGGGGCTGTCTAGAGTAATGGCAGGAACTGGATACAGCTGAAGTAATCTCTGCCAAAACTGGTTAATTCTGTGATGCTATAGGCCAAGCCTATGAAGAGTACACCCCACGTATATCCTGCCTGGCCCATCAGGAAGATGGCTGTGTTGCTCACACACTGCCCACCTGGTTAGGGGTATTTGGAGCTTCTCTGTCTATCTCCAGCTCAAACTTTGGCTGAGTTCTGTCCGTCAGTCATTTGTCAGTACCCTCTGACCTTGCAGTTAACTCAATTGCTGGTAATTACACATTTACAGGCTCAGCCTATAGCTTTACCATGACAGAGCGTTTACTCTACCTAGGCTTCAAGAGATGTGGCTGTAATCTTTCTTGGTTACTTCTTGTGTAGCACCTTGTTTATGGAGCAGCCGCCTGGATGGAAGCTTCTTGATAAGATATCTTTACTTACCAATTTAATCTGTTAACAACTAGCTGTGTTAGAAGAATACATAAAAAGCCAATAGTGCCTTATGTATGTTCTTCAAAGGCTTCAGAGTGATGTAAGGTACGTGGGAGGAGTACAGACTGGCCCAGATCCTTGTCCTTTTGTTCTGTTTTGTTTTCTGAGACAGGGATTCTCTGTGTAGCTCTGGCTGTCTTGGAACACACTTTGTAGACCAGGCTGGCCTCGAACTCACAGAGATCCTGCTGCCTCTGCCTCCTGAGTGCTGGGATTAAAGGCACGTGTCATCCCCACCCACTGATCCTTGTCCTTCTTATCTGTTTAATTTGACTGCCGGACACCCTGTGATAGGCCCTCTTATTCATCTTTATTAGTGCTCTACACGCTGCCATTTTAACCCTTCATCTTCCTTTCCATCCCAGCATCTATCCTCACGGTAAGGCATGTGAGCTTTTGCCGTGGGCAGCTTTCCCCTGTGGTGTTCCCTCCCTCAGAGAGCTAGCTGATGGGAGGCACCCTCGTCATTGGGGACATAAAGTGGTCAAGCAACTGTGACAAACAACATATCTCAATGACAGTAGGAGTCTCCCATTTTCAGCTCTAAATCCCAGCCCCCAGTGTGGTGCCTAAATGAATCCCAGCATCTATGTGAATCCCAGCAAGTGCTCCACCACTCTTTACTGGAAGACTGACTAAAAGGGAGGAATGGGTGTAGGGCTGGGCAATGCTACTATGAGGACACAGACAACAATATGAACCAGCACATATGCTAAGGCTGAACAAGAAGACTTTCCTAGCCAACTTCGGAGGTTAGACGGCCTGGAGACTGAGTCCCACTTACAGTGTCAATATCCATGGTATACGTTTTTCTGGATGTCACCCAGTAGCCTAGAGAGGAAATATGTTGATCTATGGTTAAAAGAGAGGTACTAGACACCCTGGAGAAACCCCAGGATTGAGAAACTTGACCTGATAGAGCAAGGCTGAGAGACTCACCCTCGCCAGAGACAGAAGGAAGTGAAGACAGGAAGGAAGGGGCAGAATTAGAGAAGTGAGGGCTCCACATGGCAGTTTGTGGCCAGAGAGCTGATGTGGGATGGCTTTTTTTCTGCTGAAAAGTGATATGTGTTCATTGGGCTTTTCTGATCCAAAAGCTGATCCCTTCTAGCCTCAACCTTTGCTTGTCTGGCATCTGGAGCAAAACACACCCTGGGTCTTGTTTTTGATTTCCAGAAGAAGAGTTTTAACCTGAAACTCTCTTTTTAAGTATATTCCTTTCAACCTACACCCTCTAGCACCTTTTCTTTTTTTAAAATTATTCATTTACTTTTTTTCATGTACATTGGTTTGCCTGTATGAGGATGTCAGATTCCTTGGAAATGGAGTTATAGACAGTTGTTAGCTACCATGTGGGTGCTGGGAACTGAACCTGGGTCCTTTGGAAGAGCAGCCAGTGTTCTTAATTGCTGAGCCAAATCCAGCCCCCAACACCTTTTCTAATGCTCAGAATCTCTTACTCCCCCAGATCACACAAAGATCTTTTTAAGTGGCTTAAAATCATATTCTGTAAAGAACATCTGAGCCCTGATTTAAATCTGTGGCAAAACCTTTTTGAGGCTTCGTTATATAAGCAGACAACCCTCAAACTGGAAACCCTTCTGCTGCTACATCCTGAGTGCTAGGTATCATCACACCCAGCAAGGCATTTTCTTTCTTTTGATATTTAAAATCTTTATTATTTCATCATCAAAAAATCAATAATGGAGCCTCAGATAAACCTAGCAAAGCTAGCAAGGAATTTTCTCTCTCTCTCTTTTTTTTTTCTTTCCAGACAGGGTTTCTCTGTGTAACAGCTCTGGCTGTCCTGGAACTCACTCTGTAGACCAGGCTGGCCTCAAACTCACAGAGATCCACCTGCCTCTGCCTCCTGAGTGCTGGGATTAAAGGCATTCGACACCATCGCCTGGTAGAAGTACGCACCTTGATTCAATTTATCCCTGGATACAAAGCCAGCTTAAATCTTTCTTTTTTCATCATTTGTTTATTTTGTTTTGAGACAGGCTCTGGAATAACCCAGAGTGGCCTTGCAGTCACTAGAACAGCCGGGGATGTCTTATTGACTGATTACCAGGTGCTGGGATTATAGACATGAACCATAACCATAACCATACTCGTCAGACTGGCTCAAACTACTGTACTACCCCAAAGTTTTCTATAATTATTTGAATGGATTTGAAAGAAAATTTTTACAAAATCCAACATCTTTCATAAAAAACAATTCAACAAAAGAGAAATCTAGGGAGTTTCCTCTCATAGTAAGGGAGTGTACAGAAAAATGTTAGCTGAGGTCAGGTATTGGTGGCACACGCCTTTAATCTCAGCTCCAAACCTTTGGTGTAAGGACGTTTTAACACTCTTAGCTACTATCAATTCAAAGTATATTATTTCTATGTATGTTTGCCACCTTGCAAA